GTTGACGCGAATTAATATTGTCAGAGTGCACTTATGCATGCAACCACTATACCAATTGATGCTAATTAATTGTAACGACGTTAATTAATCAAGTTGACACGTAAAATAAACAAAAAAAAAACAACGCAAAAATGAGAGGCAGTTAAATCGACGTTATAATTCCACACGCGCCCTTTACAACCGGTAATTCCTCACAATGATTCTCTCTTCAATTCACTATGTCAGTCTAGCAACTTTATTGTACATTTAACTACCTTGAAAACTCAACTAAATCCCGTTAATTATAACCAAAACGTAACACGCGGCACGAGTGGACTCACTGCAATACTTAGACAACCTAATCCGAGGCGGTCTTCACGAAACACAATTTAAGTAGCGAAGTAACGCGCACAAATACTGAAAATCTAGACCATAAAACCAAAACTGGTGGTCAAACTTCCAGAGTCCAAAAATATACCGAATGCAAAGGTTTTGCAATCGCTCAAATTTGTTTTTAATTGCTTCTCTGTAGCATCCAAAAACAGACATCAGCGTAATCTAAGATTGGCAAAATGAGAGTTTGAACAAGAGAGATTTTAGTTGATAAGGGTAAAAAACTTTGAAGTCGTTTTAACGAGTGAAAAGCATAATGAACTTGTAATGTAGTTGGATGGGTCTGAGCGGTCGCCTTTTTTAGGGATCGGGTGGACAAAAGCTATCTTCCATAAATTCGGGACTACGCCTTGGGAGTAAGAGTACCGGAACAGACGCGTTAGGACCGGTGCCAACTCCGGAGCACACGTCCTCAGCACAATTGGGGGGATTTCGTCAGGCCCACTCGACTTCTGCATGTCCAGGGAGAGGAGTGCTTTGCGAACCGAACGCTGTGATAACAGCACATCCGGCACGGAGCACTCACATCGCCGGATAGTCGGCGGTCTTTTCCTCCCGTCATCAAGAGTCGAGTTGGACGCAAAAAGGGAGCCTAAAAGGTCGGCTTTGTCTTTTGCGGCTTGGGCCAGTGGAGTCGTCCTCCCTGTGCAGAGATGGTAGTGATGGCTTAAAGAAATTCCCTTGGACAGCCTTGGCGAGTGACCAGAATGCACGGGTTTCCGAAGGAAGGCGAACTAGTTTCTCGCCAATTCTGCCTATGTGCTCTGACTTTGCCTTGGCAATAACTCTTTTGAAGGACCTGGAGGCGAAGTAATACTTCTTTTTAAATATGCTGGTGTTTTCATATCGAGTCGCCGAAGCCGCAGCCCAGGCTCGATAACACTCCTGCTTACTGCGTAATGCAGTCTTACAGTAGCGACCAAACCAAGGCTGTGATCTGCCTCCGAAGGGTACCACAGATGATGGAATAAATAGTTCCATTGTCTGTAGCGCCACATCAGTGACAGAGTCAGCAACAGCGCTGGGATCATCCAGCGAGAAGCAAACCATGGGTAGGATGCAAAGAAAGACCGCATTCCGTCCCAATCCGCCAACTTGTAATGCCAAACACGGCGGCAACCTGCAGAACGCAACCGCGAGGGGAGCGTGAGTGGCACCACACTCCGGATCAGACAATGGTCAGAAGAGCCGAGAGGGGCATCGACGGAAACCTGATATCCGTCCGGATGAGAGGTCAGCAGAAGGTCCAACAGGGAAGGTGTATGATCCTCCACATCTGGAATCAGCGCAGGCGAAGTAACCAGTTGTGTCAGACCATATGCCAAGGCAAAGTCATAAACAGATCTCTTAGCATGATCGGTTAAACGTTAACCGAGCCATTCGGCGTGGTGGGCGTTAAAATCGCAAAAAATATAAAAATAGTAAGGAATCTGTAGCCATTTGGACGTGGTCGATAAGTCGGTCTGTTAAGGCATTACCGCTATGGAACCTATAGAGGTCCAGGTCCGAACCTTCAAAACTGCCGAGGCGTCGAGAACAGATGTCCTCTCTGACATACACGCAAACTCCAGCCCGAGGCACAAGGGAGTGCTCCAATTTGAACCCCGGGCAGGATAAATACGAACATGGTCGTGGATGCTCAGCGAGGGATTCTCCAGAGTTGCTGGTACCCTCCTGGGGTAGTCTTTGGTATAATTCCGCTACCATGTTGATGGGGGGGGGGGGAGGACGAAACGCAGAAGCATAGCTTTTACTTCACGCCGGTATTCTGTGAGGTCGTGGTACCAAACTGGGTCGAGCCGGCCCATACGTGCAACAGCAAAAACTGCCGCGTGGCTCTACCAACGTTAAATGATGATGCTTGTGAGAGAGATAAAGCTTTAGTGTGTGATACTACTTGCGAAGGCACTTTGGTAGCCTCTCATCTCAGTGGTACCCCATTTAAAGCAGTGGCGGCGTCAGAGGCGACTAAACTACTACTACTAGCCCAAATATGAGTCCTATTTTATAGAATAAGGGTGACAAACGGGCACACAGTCCACCTGATGGTAAGTGGTTGCTGTAGCCCATAGACATCTACATCTATCTTCGTTTGTGAATTAAAATGCAGATGCGTTGTCTGCTGTGAGGACTACGATAGAATGCCCCTTTTCCAGTAAAAAGGGTCTCTGGTTCTCTACACTCACCATACGAAACACAGCAGCATTAAGCTGCTATTTTACGCTGGTATTCTGTAAGAGTGAGGTCCTTTCCTGGTCAAGCCGACCCATTCGTGCTATAACTATACTATTAATATAGCTGCAGCATGGCTCTACCACCTAAAAAAGGCTCTGTAAAGATGAGTACTTATTTGTGCCATGTCCTGTAGAGACTATCGTTCCGTGGGGTTTATGTGCGTAGAAGTTCCTAAAAAAACTATCCGCGACCGATCGACGCTGCTGGTGATAAGAGGGCTGCTTATTTTCTCACTCAAAGGCTACGTATAGGCATTCAGAGAGGAAACGCAACCAGCGTTCTTGGCACCATACCGCGTGGAGTAGGACTGTATGATAATTTAAGTTGACAAAGTTTTACCACATAGAATACGAGCAAACAAACATTATTTTTATATATTAGAAGATAATATAGTTTATTCTATCTATAGACAGACCTGTAGACAATTAGAATAGGCGTTATTTTAGCAGCTGATTTGCTACTAGAACTGAATGAATGGTCGCCAATAAAGTCTTTCCGAAAATATTTTTATTTTTATTTTGTATAGTTATAGAATAGAATAGAATAGAATAATTTTTATTCAATATACATAACTGGTTCGAAAAAATTACTTAATCCAGTTAAATACTTTCCAGTACGTAACGTAACGTTTTTTTTTTTAAAGACATTGTATTTTGTCTTTTAAAAGACAAAAGACAATGTCTTAGCCTCGCGAATGAACCAACATACCCAATGTTGAAACCCGGAACAAAATATGTTCTGTAGTTACGAATAAAAACGTAGATAGACCAACACAACGTCGATCTTAGGTTTATTTGAATAGAATAGATTATTACATACATATAATACCTATTGAAAGTCTTTTTTTTATTTATCACAGGTTCGGAAAATACTTTACCTTTAAGTTATAAATAATTACATTAAAGAGCACATTGGTATTTGAATATTTAACATGAGTTATTGTAAATTTAATAAATTTTGTCTTATTACCGTTTAAGAGCAAATTGTTGGCGTTAAGCCAATGTACTTATTTCAATAGAGCATTATTTACATTGTCAAAATTATTTGACTGTCGTTTGAATTTGCTTGAAGTATGAACTTGCTTCTAAAGCCTAGATATTAATTGAAACATTTACTTATTGTATGGCATTATATTAATATGATAAACTTATGACCACCTTCATTACATTGAATTGCTTATAATTTTGCTTATAATTTATCTATTAGATTGTTCTTTTTCCTTTTCTTCTAACAACAATACACCTACCATCAAACAATATAAGGGAAAGCTGTTATTGGCCATACTTTTAGTTTGTTACATTAATGTTAATATTTTCTATATACGCTGTTGGTTTTCTAAATAAATAAATAAATAAATAAATGATACATAAAAAAATTAAAATAAAAAAAACTCCTGCTCCTAGAGGAGAATCATATTCACAGAATACTTTTACTCCTAGTTAGTCTGTGTATGTTTAGGGTTATATATAAATGTTCTGTGCTTGCTTGCTACATACATATCTATTGAGTTATGGTGGTAACTTGACGGCGGCAGATTGCTGCTCCTGTATCATTGTTTAAATAATGGTTTGAAGTGGATTTTGATATGTAAAAGTGGTGCTATTTTGTGTGTTAAGTGTCTGCGCATGTGAACTATTAGTGGAAATGGTGAAACAAGTACTCTGATGGTGATGTGATTCTCAAGATAAGGTGTCTGTCTGCTTAGGCGCCTTGAGATAACATCGCCAACTGTCAGCTGTCTGCTGGCTCAAGTTGCCGTCAAAATATCCTAAGAGCTGCACAATGTGATGCATCTACATATTATTACGAGCTTGGGGTTTGAGACAATTAAAAACTGCCGATTGAATTACCAAAATTGACACTTTAATTACACAACACTAATTACAATCTAAAACCACACTAATAATTATTTCGCTTCGAAGTATTCTCATGTATCGCCAATTCAATACTGACTTGGTCGTGGTCTATACCGGCCTTATATAGGGCCTCAGAGAGTTTCTAGAACCTTCTACTGCAGTGACATCTAGAATGTTCGAATACATATCGGTCCCGAAATTTCTAGAAGGATCTTGACTCTCCTAGTTCTGCTACTGGACACTAGAGGGCACTAGTGGTAACTAGTGTTGCCATGTACAAGACATTAATAGTGGCGCGCAACAATACTGTGAAGCTGCGTGCTATGAAGGATAATTTTACATTGTAACTTCAGGCTCAGAAGGGCTTGAACCCAGAGCCGTAAAGGCAGTTATAAAATAATACATATCAATATTTATCTATGGTCTGTGCATTCGACAACAAATCAAAACATGTGGAGTTTACCTTTTATTTATATAACTTTTATTACTAACGTAATTTAAAACTTCATTTTTTAATTATTTCAATATAAAACAACGATGGCGGAGGGCCAGTTTAGTGATTATGAAGAGGATTTGTCTGTTAAAGTGAAATCAGTACGCGTAAGTATTCATTCATTATAATTGGTCTTAGTGAAATTATTTTCCTACACAATGATTAATGCAGGTCTAAGTAAAATAAAAAACATTATAATTCGATACTCTTCTACCATACTACGATAATATGTATCGCTATATTCCTAAGTAAATATTGTTCTTCTAACCTCAATATTGCTAACTCAGTCTATTAGCAATATTGAGTAAGTAGTTATGCATCCCGGTATTCCCGGAACTGCACCAGAGACCATCACAATTCAAGCGTAAGAGTGGGCGTAGAAGCCTGAATTGCGTCTGGAAGACGGGTGGTCTTTCGTGTGAATACTGATAACTATTCCTTAGCTTAAACATCTAGAATAAGAATTAGGATAGTCATAGTTAGGCTCTCACATGTATCGGACATGTAGCTTTAAGTTAGAATCCATCGCGGATTAATTAAGTAGTACCTATATAAGTAATGTATCGCACATTAAGTTTAAAATAAAGTATTTTTAAAAACGTCCTGAGTCAATTATGAATCTTGACTAAGTGTATTATTATTTTGAAAGTGTAAATAATGTTTGTTGTGGGACTAAAATCAGTTTTTATTTTTAGTTTGCAGAACTTCCAATAATCCATAAGGATGACAGTAATGATGATGATGATGTTGACTTTAATTCTGATGATTACTTTTATGACTCTGATGACGGAACACAAAATATTAATAAAAAGGAAAACGTCAATCCTCAAACACCATCAAGTAAAGTCACCACATACCAGCCAAGTGAGAAACTGTTTAAGAAATATAGTAACAAAATCAATGTGAACAAATATGAACCAAACTTTTCGGACAACACACAAAAGTTTATGGACTTAAATGATAGGAAAGTAGACAATGAGAGAATAAGAATGAAAGATAAGCATGATAGAGCTACAGCTGAGCAGGTAATGGATCCTCGAACAAAAATGATTCTATTTAAATTGCTAAACAGGGGTATTATTAATGAAATAAATGGTTGTATATCAACTGGAAAAGAAGCCAATGTTTACCACGCAACATCTAAAGATGGGAAAGATTATGCAGTGAAAATTTACAAAACATCCATCTTGGTATTTAAGGACAGAGACAAATATGTATCTGGAGAATATCGTTTCAGAAATGGCTATTGTAGATCCAATCCTCGTAAGATGGTGAGAACTTGGGCAGAAAAGGAAATGAGAAATCTGGTAAGAATGTATAATGCCAAACTAAATGTTCCAGAGCCCATTATACTGCGCAGTCATGTTTTAGTCATGACTTTTATGGGTGAAAAAGGATGGCCTTCACCAAAACTAAAAGATGTAGAAATATCACAATCTACAGCAAGACTATTATACAGAGATTGTATTACTATGATGTGGAAAATGTTCAACATTTGCAAATTAGTTCATGCTGACTTATCAGAATATAATCTTTTGTTTCATAATGGCAATATTGTTGTCATTGATGTATCACAATCCGTAGAACATGACCATCCTCATGCTTTTGAATTCTTAAGAAAGGACTGCACCAATATATCAGATTTCTTTAGAAAGAAAGGTGTAGCTACTTTAACAGTGAAGGAGTTGTTTGACTTTATTACTGATGCTTCTATAAATGAAAATAATTTAGAAGAATGTTTAGAGAAATTGTCTGACAAGGCAGCTTCTAGAAATTTTGACGAGATGACAGCACAGGAGCAAGTGGAAGAAGAAGCATTTAAAAATGTTTATATTCCTAAAAGACTCACTGAGGTAAGGTGAAATATAATTATGTTTTATTTTATAATATATTAAGCTGTACATGGCAACTTTAATGCAAGTTGCATCATGATCGGATATCACGATAATTATAAGTTTTATATTTTTACATTGTAAAAAGTACGGAGCAAAACTAATTACAATACTTAATGGAAAAGGTGGAACAATGTCTATCAAGCAAGCTAGTTAGCTACTTATATTATAGAATTAGTAAATTAGTGAAATGCAGATATGTGAACCAGTATGACTTGGTTGGCCTGCTCTGTGCCTTTAATTATCTTATTATAATGATGTTGTGTTGATCTGATTTAGGCCATCATATTTTACTAAGAGGCAGTACTAACTCAATTGCATACCTTTATAATGTAACTTTAACATTTTAAACTTTTTCAAAGCAAAAGGTTCACAGCAATTGTGAATGAATATACATTATGTCTATAACCCTCAAAGGGGAGGATGATTTAGAAAATCAGTGAGTAACTCGCATCAAAAATATGGGTTTGGATGGAAAATTATGAAAGAAGTGTTAGGTATACCTAATATCCCTTAAGTCACCTTTTATGACATACTAGGCAAGTAATACAGTTGGCACATTCTTTTTTTAATAAGTTCCACATAAATATGAGACCTTAAGGACTTAGACCAACATAAGACAATGTATGTAAATTTAAATGTTATTGCTGCCACATACTTTAATGTTTTTTTTTCAATACCAGGTAATTAACTATGAGCGTGATATCAACCAAGCTAAAAAAGGTGATACAGAAGATCTTACATACAAAAAGATAGCAGGTTTCAATGAAGATCTTACAGGGACTGTTGACAAACCAGATATTCTAAAAGAAGATAATATTGATGATGATGGAGATGACACTTCTGAGTCTGGTTCTGACAGTTCAAATGAGGAAGGTGATGACAGAAGTAAGTAAGGTTTTGTACATGGTAGAGCCATGCTGCAGCTATGTTACTAGTATAGTTGTAGTGAATGGGTGGGCTTGGAAGGACCACTCTCTTACTGAATACCAGCGTGAAATATCAACTTAACACTGCTGTGTTTCATATGGTGAGTGTAGAACCAAACTCCCTTTTACTGGAAACAATGCATTCAATCTTAGTCCTCACGGGTGACAACGCATGTGCATTTTGATTCGTAATCGAGGATAGATGTAGATGTCTATGGGCCACACCAACCACTTACCATCATGTGGACTGTGTGCTCGCTTGTCACCCTTATCCTATAAAAAAGTTACTTTGTTATATATTAGAATTTTATTATTATTAGAATTATATTCTTTTCTTTGACTTTCCTTTTGACATGTGATAGCTACCTTATTAGGCAATGGCTCATGGTATTTAACATGGTAGAACCACACTGCACCTATATTATATCTGTATTGAATTAGATTAAAGCAAATGAGTGGGTCGGTTCGACCGGAACCACGCTCTCACAGAATACCAGTCTAAAAGAGCTTAATGATGCTGTGTTTTGTATGTAAGTGTAGAGTAGAGCAAACACTTTTTACTGATAACAAGGCTTAGTCAACAGCGGTGCCAATGCATCTATAATATTATTCTTCTAGATGTAGCTGTCCATATGGGCCACAGCATTCACTTACCATCAGGGTGGACTTTGTGCTAATTTGTTATACTTATTCTATAAAAAAGGCAGCATAAAAGAATTTATCTTTTCATCTCTAAATGCATATTGGTCAATTCACTCTGGGTATTGTAAAAGTATTGTAAATCCGAACCAGTGGTAAATAAAAATTACAATCGAACACTGACATGCTTTAAATTCAAAAAAAATCCTAGATTTCATGTAAGGCACATCAACAAATCAATTTGATAGGACTTGGTCTGGATGTTTGTCCTTGTGAAATTTATGTATGTACAATCATGATATAGGAGAAAATCTTATTGTGGAGGTAACATTTTTGTTATTATTTTAAAAAAGAAAAGGACTCCATTGTCATGTGACGCTAAAGGCATTTTATGTATTATCATATTATTTCGCTTTGCATTGTCATATTATGTATTCTGCTCCTATTTCCCACCACAATGAGGCACATTTGAAGATTTTTTCCATTAGATATATTAAACACACATTAGGATGCAAATACATTGTGATATTAACAAGTGAAGCAAAATGATTCTGATACTGTGTTTTCTGAAGATATTTTTGTGTATTATGTAGAGAAAATATGAGTTTAATATTTTATGGCATTTCACCATCGCATCGCCATGTGGTTGTATGACATTAGAATGTGTTAATTTGAAATAAGAAAGAGACTCAAATATAGGGTATAGGTACCTATTTGTCATTAAAATATTTTTTATAAGACGTAAAAAAATTATATTGAGGTTTTTATATTTTAAACAAAATCTAAAAAAAGGTGCACATATTCCTTGGAAGTGGCTGAACCAATTTGAATTATTCTTTTTTTAATAGTTATGCTTCAGGGTTGGTCTAATTGAAATAAATCTGGAAGAAACCTCCACCCCTAATGGATGGATGATAATGATGATGGAAAATAGTGAAGATAGATGAAGTACTTAATGTCATAGTGAAGATAGATGAAGTACTTAATGTCAATTTAATAGATAACTTCCTAATTTCCTAATTAACCTTTTAAGCGTGTGGATTGTGCTTGGCTACATGCCCCTAGCGCGTGGCGGCTACAAATCGATAAAATAATACCTACAAGAAATAAGGAGGAGCAATCGTTGTATCGATTAAAAAATAGTCAAAGTTTTCTATTTTATTTTTTTATTTTACATATATACATACATACCTAGTCAGGTCATAAATTCTGTCACATGTTTAATAGAAAATAATTGAAACAAGTTTATTCATTATGTAACCATTTATATACCAAAATGAACTTGACAAAACATATATTCTTATGACACTAAAGTTTATTCAAAATGACCTCCGTGATTTTGAATACAGGCCTTCAATCTGCGCGGCCAGTCGTCTATCGCAGCACGAACGAGGTTCATGTCAATTTCGGCGGCTGCCTTAATCAAGGATGTTTTGAGTGACTCCAAATTGGGATGAGGCTTTGAGCACGCCTTTTCCGTTGCCATATCTTGTAATCTAACGGATTCATATCTGGACTGGAGGAGGGCCAGTCTTCGTGCCGGATGAAATCGATTTCACGCGCCGCCAGCCAGTCTTGTGTGCTCTTCGCTCTATAAGCTGGCGCCGAATCTTGTTGGAATACCCAGTGCCTGTTATTGAACATGGTATGAGAAACAGGTTCTACAAGGTTCGTCAGGACTGTATTTTGATACACAACTGCATTCGTTTTTACACCTTGATCACAAAAATGTACCTCTGTTAAGCCCCAATAAGAAACTCCCAACCATACCATGAGCGAGGATGGAAAATGACCTCGTTGGACACGCGGAATACGGTTGCTCGCTTCTTCACTACTGTGTGCGTACACCTTATCATTTTGTTTGTTGTAGCTCTCTTCTACGGTAAAAATTTTTTCATCCGAAAAAAGAATTTCCCGATATTTTTTTCCCGCGTACCGCTTCAACAAAGCGCGGCATCTCTTCAGTCTCAGCTCCATTAGACGAGCATTCAAACGATGTCCTGTTTTTCTTCGATATGCCCGAAGCCCTAAGTCTTCATTTAACACCCTTTTCACCGTGGTTCTGCTTAACCCCATCTGAAGGGCCAACAGTTTCTGCTTAAGTTTGGGATTTCTTTGAATTCGCGCCTTCACCGCTTTTATCACTGCTGGAGTCCTAACAGACCGAGGGCGACCACTTCTTGACCTGTCATCTACACTAGAGTCTTCATTGTATCGTTTTAATGGTACGATAAACGAATCTTTTGGTTATATTCAAATTTTTCAGTATGTCAAAAATTTGAATTGGGATGCAACGCAATAACTGCAACACGGTCTTCTTTAAGCGTCCACTCCATATTTAAAAATGAGTAAAATTCTAAAAAGTATACAGTTTTATTTTCATGAACAATTCGAAATTCGAATTCAATAAACTTTTTTGTGGCCAGCATTCTAAAAGAATAGTTTTTACTGTGTGACAATACTTATGACCTGATTAGGTATAATCACGCCTCTTTACCGTAAGGGTAGGCAGATACCACTTCTTTCCACTTGCTACGATCCTTACATACTTGTTTCGCTTCGTCCACTTTCATTATTCCCTTCATACATGCTCTACGGTTTAGGGTACTCTTGACCTGGCCTTTTTTCTAGACGTCCCTGATTTGGTCTAGAAATGTCCGCCTAGGTCTACCCCTTCCAACACTTTCATTCACACTCGCCTTATACACTTTTTTCGTCAATCGTTCTTCATTCATTCTCTCGACATGGCCAAACCATCTCAGCATACCTTTCTCAATTTTTGTCACTACGTCTTCTTTCAGACTTTATTTTAAATCAGCCTTAAATCAAAATTATATCGCAATAATCTCTTATTAATCGACTAGTTATTTTTTTGCTTTTCTTATAAATCAAACTAAAATAAATCTTTGAATCACTATTTTTTTTAATTTTTTTTAGCTAATCAGTTCTTAACATCACATTAATTTACACTTATTCCTCAGTATCTATTAGTTCAAATGCAATGATTAACGCATTTATAATAAATAGCTATAGTTGTTGCAATTCACGAGCGCACTTTTGCACGCGAGCGTACTGTCATAGTACCTTTTTAATGGTAAGGACAACATACAACATGGTTTCAAATTTGAACAATCAATAATATGTAGATATTATATGTAGATAAGTAATATTATAACAGAATTATAACATAATAAAAAAAACTGTGTCGATTCATCAAGGAGATACCTAAACCCAACGGAAGTCTTATATATATTAACCTATACCTACTGAATAATGTGCAATTAACATAAGAAGTAATCGAAATAGGTACTTGCCTCACCATCACTTTCGCTTTCTTTTTTCTTTCTTTTTAAAAACGTTACCCCCACGCTAGGATTTTCTCCTGTATCGTGGAGGCAGTTTACAAACATATATTGCACGAGGACAAACATCCAGACCCGGAACAATTATTTGTAGGCCATACAAATACTTGTTCCGTGCGGGATTCGAACCCGCGACCCCCAGCGCAACAACTCATTGCTAAGCCACTGCGCCACGGAGCCGTCGTCGTCTTCGACAGATTCGAATAATTCCGCTTCGTCGTCACCTTCTAATATTCTTATTAATTCCTCAGTAGTCGTCACTATTAAAATGTGACTATTTTATCGACAATGCACAAATACCCACTAACAACATTAATGGAAATTTCCATTCGTTTGATCCGCTTGTGACGTAGGCAGTGGTCGTTTTAATGCGACAGCCGCGTTAGCTAACTAGAGAAATTGTGTTGCAAACATAGGCGTCTAGGGATGGGAACTAACGTCAAATGTTGTTATTACACAAAGAGCCCGAGGGATATTTTTCTTATGAGTAATAAGGAAAATAATTTATAACACTAGGTACCTAATATGTTAAATAAATTTTATTTCGTATGTCATTGTTTATTTTATGCTGAATGATGCATTATACCTGGATTATTTAGTTGTTTGTTATTTCGTTTTTAAAATGCGCATTGCATTGTATCCCATTCCTATGGTCATATTTATGCGACGCGCGCGATAGACACCGAAGAAAAGTTGAAGCTGTCAATTACTTATATTTGTTGCTTTTTAAATAAGTATTGAGCTACGAGACATAATTTTAAGTAATTATTGTGAATAATATCTCTATTTATAATGGTTTTAGTTGTACCACGCAGTTAATAGGACGAAAATAGAACGAAAAAATCATACTATGTTTTCTGTCGCAGAAATACGACACGAGCGGTAGGGACACGGAAATATGTGAGGTTAAATACTAAAAATTTGATTTTATTTAAAATCATTATAATGTAGTGTATTATATTTCATGCTAGTGCAGTTGTTGTAATGCATTGTTCAGTGTATAACGTTTACATTTTATTTTCCAGACACTAAATTTAAAAACTGTGCACGTCCAAGAGATGAGTCACCCGATAGTAAGAAAGCAAGAAAAAAAGCTGTTAAAGAGGAAAAGGCCGAGAAAAGAAAAATAAAAACTAAGAAACATATTAAAAAACGTAGAGATAAAGGTGGTGGCAGAAAATGAATGTAACATGTAATATATTCACTTTAATAACAGTGATGTACATAGTGTTCTTTCTTAAATATTTTCTATATACATACAACATACATATTATATATTAAATGAAATGAAACAAAATACACTCTATAATAACTGTTTTATTACAAAAGTACAAAAACTTTATTTTGTATTTATTATTTTCGTTACTAACAACAAACACCACTTCTATTTTTGTTACAACTCTGCTATTGTCGAAGAATATAAATGGAAATATTATTAAAAAATATATCACTGAGTATTGATTAATAATTTTATATTTTATTAAATGATATGTATTTTATATATCGATTAAACGTTGTATTTTTGAACCTTACAAAGTACATTTGTTGTCTGTAACTTAAATATTTTCCGTCAACTTCCGCCAAGTAATTATAGTTACGAAATAAATACACGTTTTATAAATTAAGTAATATTGAATAACCCTTCCTTTATATACAATTTTAGCCTATACTACCCACTGCATTCTATTCTGCCAGGTACCATCACGTTCAAGTATACACATAAACAATTTATTTATTTATTTAAGAGTTTACTTATAGAATAACTTCGTCAAATTACATAAATAAGACTTATATCCATCTTTTCTTTTGAAATAATTAATTAATACCTCGTCATATTTTTTTACAGTTTACGATCATCGTTATTGCGACATTCAATTCAGAATATTAAATAATTTGCTTACGCAGCACAACTATTTATTGTCCTGTGTTTACACCAATATTATTACTTAGAGTACATTTACACAAATCAGTCATAATATCGATACGTCAAATTGTATCTTTGGCTAACAGTGCGTAACTTCGACGTAAATATTAAAACCAATGTAATTGGTGTCTAAGTTATTTAGTCTTAATTTATCACATTTCACTTAGTACTGCCGAAGCATCTATAGAGATAAGATATATCACAAAACATGTTTTGCTTTTAGAAATGAAATCATGTGGCAAATCTCCATTTTAAACCCATATAGCATATTGACCTGAAGATGACCATTAACGTGACCATAATACCGATTTCAAACCAGACGGAGCTCTTTTCTATATCCAAGTATTTTAATAAAACGTCTGGTTTCGCGAAATGGCAGTAGACATCCTTGCAATCTAAGGGAGTCCTGCCGAAGCCGAAAATGGTCAGAACCATGGCGACCACGCCGCAGCGGATGAATGAAGTCTTCATTAGGATGTTCATTAACAAGGGGATGCGGTGAGCGAAGTCGAAACCGTAGATAGCCAGGCCTAGGAAGGGAGCGATTGCTGCTGGTCCAATGGCGCAACCGTTCTGAAATATAAATTAAGTGTTGTAGCTGCAGCACGAACGAAACGGTTCTATCGTAGAAGGGCCACGCTCTCATAGAATAAAAGCGTAATATAGCAGTATTATGTTTGTATGTTTTTTTAACTATTCGAAGCCAGTGCTTTACTACCATTGCACCTGATGCTGAGTGGTGTGCCGCCGACGACGGTAAAGCGCACTGACTTAGCTCAACAAACTTGTTTCGTAAGAATGTATAGGTAACAGCGTCCGTTTATCATCAGGTGGACTGTGTGGTCGTATGTCACCGTGCGTAGATAAAAAACAATATTGGTATATTTTACAAACGTCTGCCGCGAGGTCAATGCAACTGTTTGTGTCCCTCAAAGAGGCGAAACACACCAGTACTAAAGAGCGAAGCTCTATATGGAAGGTGTCTCGCCTGCGTTCCGTGTGCAGCGCATCTGAACGCAGGCTGAATGACTTCGTTCGTACAGGTTCATTATGTTACAGTCATCGTCGTAGTCAAATATTTTTATTCAAAATTAACCTTTACAAAGCATTTTTGCATATCAAGAAAGCTACGCCATCGCTTCAACAAGTCCCTACTGCGGGAGATCTTGTGAGAAGCAGCAAGAAATTCACAAGTAGACTATTTTACCGCAAGTCACAATGTAACCTTATAAAATACCTACATACATAAGTAAAAAAAAAAAACTAAGGAAGCTCATTATGTCCATGCATTCTTATCCTTTAAAACTTGAAAACGAGACTGTACAACCAGTGCGTGTTGCCAGTGATGACCTATGGCATGAGACGTGGTCCTTTACTGCTGGCCGTAAAAAGAAGCTCACGGTCGCTCAGCGAGCAATGGAGAGGGCTATGCTCGGAGTTACTCTGCGTGATAAACTTAGAAATGAGGATATCCACAGTAGAACTAGAGTGACCGACATAGCCCAAAGGATTAGTAAGCTGAAGTGGCAATGGACCGGCCATATAGCTCGAAGAACCGACAACCGATGGGGAAAAAAGGTTCTCGAGTGGCAGCCTCGTACCGGTAGGCGAAGTGTGGGGCGACCTCCCACTAGATGGCCTGACGACCTGGTAAGACATGCAGGTGGCTCAGAACCGTGCTTTGTGACATTCCTTGTTTCCTTGGGTGAGGCCTATGTTCAGCAGTGGACTTGTGAAGGGCTGCGATGATGATGATGACAAAATAACATATATATAATATAATACAGTGTAATAATATTAGAGTTGAGAATAATATTATATTAAATATTCTCAACTCTAATATTATTACACTGTATTAATATTAGAGTTGAGAACACGATACGATCTGGAGACTACGACCAATCAGCATGCATTGGTCGTAGTCTTGAGATTATTGTATTGTAATTGATATTAATGCGTCTGCAAACAATTTAGATTATTCAGACGGCTGGAAGAGGGTGAAAACTTCATTATAAAAGTCCATTACATTCATACATAAAGTCTACGAGGTCTATCTTAACCAGGCTGAAGTTAGTCACGAGTGATTGCGCAAATATAGTTTTCATGTAACCTTTAGATGCTTGCCTTGTTCGGGTGTACCTACTCTCTTCTCGTCTCGAGTATTCGCCTGTTCTCCACTCGATGTCGGTTTTTTGGCACGAGAAGGAATGCTCGTATCGGTGTTTACATACTCGTCATTATTCGCTTGACCCGTGAACTTTTAAACTTTATTTTTCTTATAAAATAATTAAAAAAATAATAAAAATGCCTACCTACTGTGATGGATTGGAGTAACAACGAATCCACTATTTTTTATATAACTTTATCAAGGAGAACCAATGATATAGGTTTCCGGTAATCAGTTTTAAATAAATATTAATGAAAATAAATATTTCATCATCATCTATCAACAGCTCTTTCGTCCACTGCTGAACATAGGCCTCCTCCAAGGAATGCCACAAAACACAGTTCTGAGATATCTATCTACACCCATCAACTGCCTGCATGTCTTACCAGGTCATCACTCCAACTAGTGGGAGCTTCACACCCCCCAAATATATATTTGTAAGTTTATAAATATCAAGTAGACATAAAGTCGTGGCGACGAGGCGCACGTCAACCATGTTTAAAGGATCTTCGTCGAATGAATACAGACGAATATTACGTAAACGCGTCGCACTCGTCCACGAATAATTGCTAAAACTAGAGATGCGAATACGCATATCGCGCGGCTACGATTACGTAAATAATCGATTATCGTTATTATCGATTGTGATTCGAGATTTTACAATTATGATTTTATTGAAAAAATTCAAGTTATATTATTTTGGGGTTACTAAAGAATTTGTTGTCTCCCCAATAAAGTGTATTTAAACTGTTTTCCTTCTTCTTTTTAAAAAAATGTTACCCCACACTAGGTTTTGCTCCTGTGTCGTAGAGGCAGTTTACAAACATAAATTGCACAAGGACAAACATCCAGACCCGTAACAATTATTTGTAGGCCATACAAATACTTGTTCCGTGCGGGATTCGAACCCGCAGCCCCCAGGGCAACAACTCATTGCTGAGCCATTGCGCCACGGAGCCGTTGAACTAAGCAGATTTAAACTGTTTATCGTCATTCTTTATTAGATATAATTGATTTATTTAAAAAAAAAAGATATTTTAATTATAATAATAGGTAATGTTTTCATGTTTTCAATTTATTTTGTATCTATAATCGATACAAACAAAACAAATTGTTTCCATAAGCAATGTTAGGAGAGAATATGAACTGGCACATGTCCATGTACTAGCGGTTGTACTTTGTGTCGGAAAGCCAACTTCAGCCCGGCCGTACGTAGTTCATACAGTCAATATAAAACGTGAAAAAATGAATGACACCAACGTTAACACACTTAAAACTCAGTCACGTGACAGTTAATGTGACTCAATGTGTCTAGTGGTCGTAAACGCGCCTGCTGATCATGAGGTCCCGAATTTGAATCCCAGGTCGGGCCAAAAAATCATTATTGAGTTTTTGTGTCACGAAATTCTCAGTAGCAGCCCAGAGTCAGGAAGTTGGCAGTGTTTCACCTCTGTGCTTTGGAAAGCACGCAAAGCCGTTAGTCCTACGTCTGATATCTCTTCGATTATACCGCCCTATCGGACTATAAGAGCGAGGGTATAGAGAGCGCACCTATGCATACACTCGAACACTATAATCCTGTCCCGCGGAGATGGCTGGTCTCCGTTGAGACTTGCCGTCGTGACCGAAATTCGGTCTGGAGGTCATTATTATATTATTCGCACTCCTTTTTACACTTTTTTATTAGCATTAACATAATCTTCCCGTCTATATCCCATATTATTTGGGGTCGACATTGTATTTCTTACGCATATCATCCCTCACACAGGCGATCTAACTATACTTAGGCCTCCCTCTACCCTTATAGTAACCATCCACTTTCCATTCAACTTGGCTAACCTTGCTGAACAGAAAAGCGTGGGATGCGGTTGGCTAGAGCTGGAGGAGTGATCGTTGGCTAACATTCTGCGCGCTTTTTATACGTTTTTGCACGTATGTTAGTTCCGTCTGGGATTCAAAGCCGGACTAGGTAATCAAATACTCTATCTGACATACCTACGTGATAATAAAGTAGATAACTATTATACTGTTGATTACACAAGTCAAACTATACTAATGCATTATTAACTTACCCTGACACTAAACATGGATCCAATGGCCATACCCAGTCCTTCAGAGGCCAGTGAAACGACATTACCTATGAGGCAGAAGCAAATGAACCTGGAAGTTCCAAATGGCACTCCCACCATAAAATAAACGATCGTACAAAATACGATGTTGAGCGTCACTTGAACTGGTAACTTGGAGACAGTCAAAGCCACGTAGTAAGGCGATAGACTGTACCAGCCGTTGAAATGCTCCTTCTTCACAAGTTTCACTTCTTGCGGATCTGAAAAAAATATTTAGTTTTTTAATGAACGAATTTTCAACATACACATATGAAGATTTATAACGTGTACGAATAAATCTGTTACTGGATGCTGTTTCAGCCTATTTACCACTCTATTTTTGTCTCTAAGTAGCTGTATACCTACGTCAGTATCCCGGTTGCAATGTACGTATTTAATTAATAATCATTATTTATGTAACTGCGGGTATATCTATATAGATCAATAGCTAGTTGTGTAACCTACATAAACAGTTGGTATGTATATTGACTGAACAAAGAGATTTAAATATATATACTTAAATGTCTTTGCGACTGAACTTATAATAATCAAATACGTTGTACATAATTAGCCTAACGTTATTGTGCGTCCACATACCTACGTACATAATTAGCCTAACGTTATTGTGCGTCCACATACCTACGTACATAATTAGCCTAACGTTATTGTGCGTCCACATACCTACGTACATAATTAGCCTAACGTTATTGTGCGTCCACATACCTACGTATATAATTAGCCTAACGTTATTGTGCGTCCACATACCTACGTACATAATTAGCCTAACGTTATTGTGCGTCCACATACCTACGTACATAATTAGCCTAACGTTATTGTGCGTCCACATACCTACGTATATAATTAGCCTAACGTTATTGTACGTCCACATACCTACGTACATAATTAGCCTAACGGTTTTGTTACCGCAAACTCGAAAGTCGTGGATTCGAATCTACCTTTCGATTACCGTCGCGAACCACTCCCAACACAAACATTTTAAGCTTACATGGAATGGTTTAAAAGAGTATTTGTAATGATACTTATATGCTAGTATTAAAGAAAAAAAAACTGATTTTTCCGGTTTGGCAATTCATCGGCTCAGAGGTGACAGCACACTACGACTTTATTTTTTATGATCTCATTAGTCAATCGATTGAAATATGTAGTAGCTGCAGCACGAATGGATTGGCTTGACCTAGGAAGAACTATATCCATGCTGCTGCCTCTTTCAATGAGAGATGGGGACCGGAGACCCTTTTTACTGATACGAACATTTCATGATATTTATCAGGTATAAGAACACATCGGTGTTTTGATTCTTTATTGAGGATAGGTGATGTGTCTATCCACTCAGACACGGAGTCCACTTCAGTTAAGGGGACGCTGTGATCTACTCACCATGAAGTGAACTCTGAATTTTGTCACCCTTACTGCTATAAAATTATTAATTAAAACACTAATTATGAACAAATTCCTCGGTGAACGTAGCCCTCCTTAAGTGGTTAGTATTTTCAGTTTGGTTTCAATAGAAAGAGCCGTGGTAGCTCAGACGATTAGCGCTCGCTGTAGTTTCACAGTACCTACACGAGCAGCCCGAGTTCATTCCCGCCGGCACCAATGAAAGTGCTGGTTTATCACGAAAACATCGTGAGGAAATGTCTGAGAAATAAGAAAGAAATATATTTCGAAGACATGTGAAGTTCCCCAACACGCATTGGGGCAGGGCAGCGGACACTTCCTTACCCTAAAAATCCTCTCAGAAATTAGAGGCATGTGCGCAGCAGTGGGTCGTAATTAGGCTGTAACTTTACTTTACTTTTTATTTTTATTCAATGGAATAATTATTGAAACAAGCACAAGCTACTATTTACTTTACTCCACAGAGTAGGTAATTTATTCATGGGGCTAGTGCAACAACATCATCATCTTCATCATCATTACAGCCCTTCACAAATCCACTGCTGAACATAGGCCTCCCCCAAGGAATGCCAAAAAGCACGGTCCCGAGCCACCTAAATCCATTGACTTCCTGCATGTCATGTGCATGAAAAATAATAAATTTTTCCTATGTTCATTCTAATAAGAGAAAATACCTTATTAGAATGAACATAGTTTTTATTTTTATTTTGTAAAACCACTGACAGCAATCTAATTAAAGTTGGTTTAGAATGAATTTTTTCCGCCTTTTGTGCGTTGGCAAACGTTAAAACAACTCGATCGTATAACATACTCGATACTAACATAGTTCAAGTCTTTCCTGATGTAGGAAGAGCCACATTTTCTATTCTCTTTTACCCGCGACTTGGGCGTAGAACCTGAAAATCCTGCAGATCTATGTCAGTGCTTCTTTGGGCCAGTACTTCAATTATCGAAAAAACAATTTAAGATTACTTAGGTTGTGTTATCACCTCGAAAGCTACATGCAATATAAGAAAACATTCAAATTAAAGATCTATTAAGTTATAGTGCTACCAACTTATCTGTTCAGGTGGACAAAATTGGAACTAAAGCCGCCATTTTGTAAATGACATTTCGCTGTCAACTATTATTTATTCTGACCTATCAGGTGAGTGTTTTTAAATAAAATGCCTAAAGGTTTTAAAAGTGATGCGCGATAGATTATTCTAAAAGTTTTATCTTTTATGAAAGAAGAGAAACGTGTACAAGTCTCAACTATACCATTTGAAAAGCTGTATAAACGCGTTGCTGCCGCGACAGGTTAGTATTGCCAGATATGGAAAATTAACATCACCAAATAATGTACTTGTGAAACATAGTAAAAAAAATATCTCAATTTACTGCAATTCATCTAAAGTACCTAGCTTTGTAGTTTGTGTTGCACCGGTGCAGTGGAAAAACATTTGTAATCATGTTAAAAAAATTGAAAATGAATACAGACTAAAAGACGCGTATTTAAATGAACCCTTTATTATAGAGTGTCAGAGCGACCGTGAAAGCGATTCCAGTGACTTAGAAGATGAATTATTGGAACTAGTAACTAACGCGGGTACATTTTTCAAAACAAAAACTTGGAATTCGGCCGCTTGAACTCTGAGATCACGACCACAATTATTTTTATAAAATATAAATAATATATATAATAACTAATTTTAATATATTAACACGAAATTTGTTTTATTTTATATTATGTGTAATGAATATGTAGTTACCTATTTCCTCGGTGAATTTCTTAAATGGCAATACTATGCACTCCACTAGCGACGCTATCAACTAAACAGATAAGTTGGTGGCACTATAACGTCGAAAGATTTTATCACCTTATTCTTTAACTTTAACACACATAGTTTTGCCGTAATGATAAAAATCGATTTCGCATCAGTACTTTAACCGTGGAAGAAGCGTAAGGACCTTTTTTGTGTAAACTTAACTTGCAAGTTTACATTTATTTTATTTGAAACTTTTTTTATATATTCTTTTAGTTTATGAGATTATTTAAATATATTATTTATCAGTTTTTTGACTACATATAAAGAAAAATTCCAAATGATTTTCGGATAAAAAGCCTACATCACTCCTAGAATTTCTCCGTAACTATTCGTAAAGTCTTATCACATCGGTTAAACCATTTTTTAAATAGTTTTAATAACAAAAATATTTCCTGAAGCTTATAGAAACCTGTTATTTCAATATTACATACACACTTCATTTTAATGATATGTATAGTTAAAACAGTGTTTGACTATAATACCACGTGGTGGTAGATGGTAAATCGGACTGTCTTAGCGTAGCAAAATTATTGTTTAAGAATTAGGACTTGTAACAATTTTGTTTTAATTTACTTAAAAAAATGTAAGTGTCATTATTCTCAAATACAGAGTACTAAACTACTGGGAATACCCCCATTTATCAGCCAACCTTGATATGTTTGCGTCATAAACTATAGGAAAGAAGACTATGATGTCAATGCGTCAATTATACCAGAAATAAAAAATATTCTTCCCCCTCATAATCGCACAATCAAAAAAAAAATGCGAGACAATTGTTAACTATTAAAGACCAAATAAATTGTTAGTGTTTACCATTGATGAGACTTTAATATTTCTAACGATGGCCTCAGTTAGATCTCTGATTTTTTGTTAGATTTAATGAGATTTTTGACGTAGATATATGTTTCACCTTGATCCCTGGATTTTGTCACAAGGCAAATATTATTATAAAATTTTTAAAAATTATTTAATTTTTATAAAGGTTTGTGGGAAGTTCTTTAAAAAATATATCTTCAAATATATGTGATGTTCTGTCAATGGTTCGGCTCGACCGAGGAACGACCACGCTCTCACAGAATACCAGCGTAAAATAGCAGCTAACACTGTTGTTTCGTATATTGTGAGTGTAGAGAACTGGAGACCATTTTTGCTGGAAAAGAGGCATTTCATCTTAGTCCTCAAGGGTGACAGCGCATCTGCATTTTGATTCTTTATTGAGGATAGATGTAGATGTCTATGAGTAACAGAAACCACTTACCATCAGGTGGACTGTGTTTGTTTTTTATACGATAGGGTAACCAACGAGCACACAGTCCACCTGATGGCAAGTTTGTCCCCCTATCCTATAAAAAATACTTTGGAAAGTTGTCAGATGCACAAGAGATAAATGTACGATTTACGCGCGACATTAGTTAACATTAGCTCAGCGCCTTAATCATTAGCGTACCGTCCACAGAGATAAGAGTAACGTCGTTAGGTCGAGGGTAAGGCTTTCTCTATGTTTTTTATAAATCGAATGCAGCTGCTATGATATTAAAACGTATCACAGTTTTGTTAGGTACATCATTTCTGTGGCGGCGCTTTAATTGCGCTGGAAGCCAAGATATAATATCTTTATACATATATAAAATTCCGACATGCGTGTGTTCGTAATTAATTTGATGAAATTTTTATTGAGTACTTATGGAGTCACCTGGATGGTTCCTAGGAACCGGTAGGTGGCGATTAGCTGGAGTGCGAAGCTAGGGTCGATCGCTAGTATATATATACGTTTCGGAGAAAGTGTGCAGGAATTGCATAACTTGATCCCTGTAACTTCCACCATCGGACAACGAAGCTCGGCCGGTCTCCATATTTTTTTTTGTTGTCGACATACCACGCACTTGAACCAAATGTGTGCTTTCTCGTTTGTAATACGTACGGCAAAGAATGGAATGGAATAGTTTTCTAGCATCTGTCTTTCCGTCCGATTACAATGTGAGTGTATTTAAGGCGTAGTGAATAATAGACTTTTGTTTAACTAAGTCACTACGTTTTACCAATTTCGGCTGCATCACTACTTAGCATCAGATGAGGTAGTAGTTAAGCACTAAGAAGCCTAAATCACGTTATCGAAGGCTCCAAACGACTCTAAATATACCTACAGAAAATACTATACTACCATGCCCCTGCATAGCCTTTTCCTGCTTTACAAAGCACTCGACGACGATAATTCCTACAATACCGGGCTACCAATATCCAGGCTTCATACACCATTTCACCTCAGTGCACAAACCACTGTTGTGAGCGAATTTCAGCGCGAGTTTATGTAAGTGCTCCAAGCCGCTCGGAAGCTAGCTTGAAGTATTTTTCTGAGTGTCCACAGACTAATTGGTACACCCGTTACTTCTTCATTACATGTTTTTTTTTAAAACCAACATAAGTAGATTTTAGAAGTACTTGGCTCGGTTAGAAGTAGTCATACCCTGGTTCAGTGCATCTTTATCTTTTTTTTTATAGAATAATGGTAACAAACGAGCACACAGTCCACCTGATGGTAAGTTGTTGCTGTGGCCCATATACATCTACATCTATCTTCGTTTGCGAATTAAAATGCAGATGCGTTGACAGCTGTGAGGACTACATAGAATGCCTCTTATCCAGTAAAAAGGGTCTCCGGTTCTCTACACTCACCATACGAAACACAGCAGCATTAAGCTGCTATTTTACGCTGATATTCTGTGAGAGCGTGGCCCTTCCCCTGTCGAGCCGACCCATTAATGCTACAACTATATTATTAATATAGCTGCAGCATGGATCTACCAAATTGAATATCTTCCAGAATCCGGTCTTCTCTCAATGGATCCGGTCTCCTAGTATCAATGTCAGTTCCTCTGAATGGTAGAACGACAAATATTTAAATGCCCACACACCTAACCTTGTTTACATCCTTCTTCTAGCAGCGCTGTAATTTATAATTTTAGCAGCTGCTATCTTTTAATCTTTCATTTTAGATCATGAAGATTAGGAACCTAACAATAATAAACTTAAAAGTCATTGCCCAGTCATTTACTAATTTAAGTCAAAATTGAATTAAATCACAACTGTCCAAATATTTTTTTTACTTGGTAATGGATTTGTACGGTCTCTTGCTAGTGTAAAAATATAATATATAGAGATTTGTTTAAATACTTCATAATATGTTGATTGCATAGTTTTGGGAGGTTTTGACGGCACCTTGAACCAACAGATAATCATGACGACCTCAAATCGCCTAACAGACAAACTAACTCGAGGTTTAAATTAACATGGAAACACTTGTTTCATCGTTTCCATTTTACGTATCAAAATCGACTTCGAACCATTAATTAAACGATAAAACAGGGTCAACATCCCCAAGTGTGCAATACCTATGAATTTAAAAGTAGCTACATTTAGAAGTACGCGAATATGCCAGGTTTCTTTATTAATAATATGGCAAGTGACTATTGGAGCTATTAGATATTACGATTCGTTGTCACTATGAGAACTATGATAAAATGCTTCACAGCCTTTATACATTCTGGCACTGCTATTCAGCAGTTCAAGTAGGTAAGAGGGCCTAAAAAGACAGATCATGAGCGCAGAAAAGGTTTTCTAAATATGTCTTATAATAAAAGCTGAGTAGCCGTGGTAGGGGCTAAACACTCGTGTTCAACAGGTCGTCACTTTACCTAGTGGACGATCATAAACATTCTCAACGGTCAGCAGTGGAGAACGGCATCTCAGTTCCATGTGTCATTACTGGCATTACACACACATTTTTAAATACACGTCATGAATTTAAAATACTATGTTATAATCACCTCGGAATAAGGAAATGAAATCGGATGGTAAAAAAAATATATTGTTGTTTCAAATTAATAATTGAGATATTTTAATTATGAATTCACCCAAACTATGTACCTACCTTTAAAATCTCAAGATGTTATTTAAAGATCAAATAACAGTGGCATTATATTTAAGGGAAGTGACTGTTTAAACTGAAAAGGTATAAGTTCGACTCCATCATTTCACTGCTTTCGTAATACCGATTCTCATAGCACATTCATCATCATAGCGAATTTAAAGCTCAATGGAAGAGATTAACAAGATTACTTTTATTGTTAATAGTTAATATGTTTACACAATTTTAGACCCAAAGCATTCTAAACAATGATAAAAAAATACCGAAAAAAAGCAAATAGGATACTCACAGACAAGAACCGGCACCATTATCTGGGTATAGGCGAAGAATATGACCAGACCAACGCACATCTTCAAGTGATTGAACATCTGCGTGCCGTCGTTCGCCATGTTTAAGAAGCACAGTCCTATTAACACGCCGCACATGATATGGTGAATTGTTTGGATCCAGAGAGCTGGAATTGATGATTTAGTAATCAGATAAATTATAATATGATTATCTTCTTTAACTTTTCACTTATAAAATGGTGTCTCCAAATAAACAAACAACATTAATCTAAGTATAGAAACTCAGTGACTAGCGTGCAGCAGGATGGCGCGTTCGGAGTACACGAGAAACATCCCAATTTACATTACAAGGCGACGTATCCCTTTTCGCCTAGGAATTTGTCTTGGTAGATACCACCCTGTTACCTATTCCTATCGCCCAATAGCAGTGCGTGCACTCCAGTCTGAAGTCACTTCCGGTCGGAAGAGTGTCGAAATTCAGTATAATTACAAGCTGTAAGGCATTCCTCTTAGCCTTCTTCGTTTGAATTTGGATGCAGGTGTCCATGGGCTACAGTTGCTACTTACTATTAGGTGGATAATAACTTCGTTCGTCACTTCAGTTTTATATAACAAGTGGTAAGTTAAAAATTTTGTACAAACGTCTTCAATATAAAAAAAAATATATTGTTGATGTTTTACAAACCGCTCAACCGATAAAATTAAAATGTGATCACTTGGAAAGTATACCATTTAAAACAAAAAAACAATTTTCCAAATCATTCCAGGCGTCTTCGAGTAATCGGTGAACATACATAAAAAAAAGATTTCGATTGAGAATCTCTTCCTTTTTGAAGTCGCGTGAAAAAGACGCTCCGCCGAAAGTTCACCACTTAGGCTTTAGCCGGCCTTAGACATATAAACCTTTTATTGCCTGTTCTTGTTTTTGTTTTTATCTTTGCACATGTAAATGTAAAAAAAAACGGACTTATTATAAAATTCTATTATTTTCTATTCCCTTTACATCCTACATAAACAATACTTCGGTGGGAAAACTCAAGAACGCACAATAAAATATACAGAGAACGAAGTTAGAAAGTTTTTTCTTCTATTCTTATGATATGGTACCTTTTATTATAGCGGGACCCTCTTTGAATTTATTAATATATAATTTTATGTGAAAATTGACCTAAAGATACATTGCATTCTTACTTTGTTATCTGAAATTCAGATGAATAATGCAATATTTTATCAATACGTATTCGATTTACGTTAAAATCGCATATAATAAGCAGTTAACAAATTAACGTGAGTAAATAAAACGGAAGGTATTCTTTACCGACATTGTACACAAGATATTGTGTTTGTTGTCGTCAAACAACGATTTAAGGAACGTATAAAATTTATGTAAGAAAACGTTAGGTGAATTAGTGAATAAAGGTAAATAATTTAAGAATTTTGTAATCATGCCTCTTGACAACGGTGTACAGGTACCTAAGTAAACTTTAGTATTAATTTGTTGTTCTCGAAATATGTTGATCTTAAGTAATAATTACTTAACTATTATTATTTAAACTTACCTTGCCGATTTCTTGATATTTGTATTATCATCCTTCTAAGCAAAATCGAGAACTGCTCAAAATATGTTGTTGGGTACAGTTTGGGATCAGATTTTTGAACCCTCATCCATGCTAATGACGAGTTACCCTTTGAAACTTGACTCGAAAGTGATGTCAGAGAATTTCTCACTCCATCGTATTGGTTCCCCTTGTATATACATTGTTCATTGGATAGAACAATTTGTGTCTCTTCTGGCTCATCTCCCGCTTGATAGCAAATTTTGAGTTCTAAGTTGTTTATGGGTTCAATCGGAGGGACATCGAACTTGGAAGACTTGTAGAGCTTTCCGTTCTCGATTTCTTCGCACAACATATTTATATTTTGAGGATTTTCTGTAATTTCAATTACTGAAACATAAACAAAGTTTAATTAATTTATACATCGTCATCATTATTTTTTATTAATTTATTCATTTAATAATTTATTTAAACTATTTTTGTTGATTTTAAACAAAATAAAGTAAAATATAATTAATTATAATTAAATTGAATTGAAAGTTATAATTAATGTTAATATTGTTTGTGCGTAATGTATGGAAGGAACTAGCTCCTAACATACAGGATTCCTAGTTCAGGAGCTAGGGCACAATCGTAACAAGTGTAATATTTATTTGAGTTCTAATAAAATATTATTAAAGTATTATTAATTATTAACTAACTCCGATGTTTCGCATCGTTTTTTATATATAATAAGTTACATTTAGTGGTAAGTGTATGCTGTGGCCCATAGATATCTATCATCGATTAATAACCAAAATGCAGATGAGTTGTTACACCTGAGGACTAAGATGTGATTGATGACTTGCTACAATGGGTCTCCGGTTGTCTATACTTGCCATACAAAACATTGCAGCATTATTCTGTTTCTAACACTGGTTTTATATCGGTTCCCAGTCGAGGCAATCCATTCATGCAGCAGGTATACTTAGTGGCTGCAGCTTGGCTTTACCACGTTATAGATATTTTAATGGTGTCATAAAATTGAACGTCTACATTGAAATTAGTAGAATAATAACAAAATATTACTATAACACACTGAATAGCTCTCATTAACTTCCTAATGTTTGACTTTTGTTAATCGCTAATGTTTTACTATACTTTTGCAATAATAACTTAATACCTGTGTTCGCGCCAAACGCTAATTTCAAGAATCGACGCCAGGGGGCGCGCAGCGCGGTGATTTCATACCGGTTGATGTTCGCGCGAGATCGAATTGGTTGCTAGCGGGGCGGGTCGGAAGTGATTCATGGTAGTGCAGTCACTAATACAGCGTGGTCTCGTCCCGTATAACCTCTGTATAGTGTCGGGTTTTGTTAGCAAGTTTTTTTATGCACCGACGAGGAGTTTGTTGAGTTTAGAAAAATAGATTGACGGCGAGGATCCGTTAATTGTTTTGGAAGTTAACATTAATTGCGATCAACGTCTGAATTTGAGTGTTGTGCGCGCCTAATTTACTATTGAATATTTGGTTTTCGTGTAGACCGCCGCGAATTTGGTTATTCTAATTTTGATTGCGTATATAAGTGCATTCGACAATATTAATTTGCTCGTGTGGCATTTGATATAGTTCGGAGACATTTTCCGTTGTCGGTTAAAACGCTGAACTTTGTGACCCTAGAGAAGGTCGTTCGGTTCTAGAAATAATTTGTTGCTGAGTGAAAACGGAAGTGAACTTTGATCCACCGGTCATTAGTCGTGCCGTGTGTTACGTTTTTGATTACGATTAACGGGGATTTAGTTGAGTTTGAAGTTAGTTAAATGTACAATAAAGTTGATGGATTGAAATAGTGTACAATGAAGTTGATAGACTTTGAGTGACATCGAGGTGACGCCGCTGGAGGATACCACACCGTGTGGCGGTGCCGGAGTCAGGGCTGCTGCCGCTTAAAAGGGTTAAGTCAGGTTTCAAATTTTACACACCGCTAAACACCACTTACATACTACACCTACCGCCTGACCGAGCCTTATAGCCAGTCTTCGCTTCTGAACCAGGTACGTTCTTATTGATTACCTAGCCTTATATCTATTGTGTAGGATAATAAGTATCCATAGGCCGTTGGGCCCCACCCTTAGTTGTTCGTCGAATCTACAGCTGTATGGGCCCCAGTATGGTCGAACTTTTGTTGGGGCAGCTAAGGGCGTGTACATTTTGGTAGCAGAAGCGCGGTTGATTGTTTCTGCAATCACGCCCGGCCGTAATACGTAATAATAAAAATATTTTCTTTTGTTGTTTGCTTCCTTTGTTTATGGATATGGATAGGGTCTATAGTTTGGGGAAGTGGCTCGAGCAGGTCGATGCTCGAAGGGCCGTAGTGGAGAAGGCTTACGCGGAGCTCGAAGCCTCGGATGTGGAAGAGGGAGTCATGGACTTCTGCCTCGCGGACTACGACGCGGCTCACGGACGACTTGATCGAGGCTGGGGCCAAGTATGCTAATGAAGCGCGTGAAGCTCGGCTGAGTGGCCTGTCCGAGTCCCCTCGGAAGCAGTCTACTCAGCCGGAGCTGTAAGGACGACTCCCGACTCTGGACCTGCCAAGGTTCTCCGGGGTCCTCTCCGAATGGCTGATTTTCGTCGGTCTGTTTGACAGCCTAGTGGACGCCCGGACGGACTCGATACCCAGCCAGAAGATGGGGTACCTCCTGGCATCATTGGAGGGGGAGGCCCTGGGCGTCGTTGGCCATTTGAAATTGTCGGACGACGCCTACCAGAATGCTCGGGACCTCCTCGCCGGTAGGTATGCCAACGTCCGGCGGATTGCGGACGAATACGTTAGGCAGCTCATAAACCTCCTGCTACTTAAGGACCGGACCAGACTACGTCCGGACATCGTAAATTCAGTCGTGGTGGCTTGTAACTCCTTGAGGCGGCTGGATTTACCGGTGGACGAATGGTCCTCTTTGTTGCTCCACATTGGGCTGTCCCGCCTGCCTCTTGATCTTCGGCTCCATTTTGAGGAGAGGTACGGCGGGGACGGATCCTCCTACGTTCCGCCCTTCAGGTACCTGCTGCGGTTCTTGGAGAAGCAGTGCCAGCAAATGGAGAACGCAGCAGGCGCCGTAGAGGCCCTGCGAGCTGCCGACCGAGCCGTGCCCAGGGAAAGGCGGAATCCGACGGGTAAGTTGTCGCCAACCCCCCTAAGGCCGAGCGGAGCTCCCGAGGGAGGGCGCCGCCACCTACCATCTTATAGCGGCCTAGCGGCCAGGGAGGCGGCCCCCTGCTCTTATTGTCAAGCATCCGATCACCGGGTGACGTCGTGCCCGAAGTTGCTGGGTAAGCCGGTCCCGGCGAGGTGAACCATCGCGAAGGAGCGCCACTGGTGCTACTCGTGCTTGGAAAGGCACCTCCAACGAGACTGCCCGCACCAGCGGCCCTGTCCGTACTGCCAGGGCAACCATCCGTTTATATTATGGCCGTTTTGTGCCTGGGTGCGAACGGCGTTTCCTCTCGGGACTCTGTTGGGCCCTCAGCTCCCACGGGCGGGGGCGCTCAGCTACGCTCTCTGTTGGGCGACGCGCGGCGCTTGCCTGTCGGCCACCGTGCCCCTGGGTTAGAAAGGCCCCCCCCCCGACTAGTCGGGGGGTCGTTCCCCCAGAGGCGGGGGGTTGTCACCCCCTCTCAGCATGTTGAGAGGAGCTTCGCGGCCACTCAGCAGTCAGCTAGAACCGCCTCACCCCCGTTAGCTGAGCGGCCGCGACTGGAGTACCATCCTCCTCCCTTTGATCGATACCGGTACTACCAGGTTCCTGCGACCTCAAGACTGTCCCGGGCCCCAAGGCCGAGGTTCCCCGAATTTCCCCAGGTCGGCCCATTTGATGAGTGGCAACCACGGGTCGTTGAGATGCCGCCAGAATGCCACTTTCCGGACCCCCGTTTCGAGGGCCGGTCCGATGGAGGCAGCTCCAGCTAGGTAGCTGCCGCCCTAGCTCCCACCACGGCCACCTCCACTGAGTCTTTGAGCTGTCAACAGTCCACTTGTCAAACTGTTCTATTGCTGACGGCCTCAGTGAAGGTGTACAACCCGAGCGGCGACTGTTTAACGGTTCGCGCTCTATTGGATTCGGGTTCACAATGCAGTGTGGCCTCCACTTGGTTGGTGGGAAGACTAGGGCTCCCTTGGAGCTCTGAATCACGTCTAATGGTAGGTCGGTAATTGGAGGTGCCGAGCCTCCTGCTCCTAGGGGACAAGCGGAATTGGTGTTTGGCCCTACCAGCGAACACCTTCACATTCTAGTTAAGGTAAATGTCCTCGATGACATTGTAGGTTTTCTCCCTAACATCCGTATAAATGACAGCGCGGTTCGTTGTGCGTCGGGTTTGAGACCGGCAGACCCTCAATGGTACCAACCTGGGCCTATAGATTTGTTGCTGGGGGCCGACGCGCTGGGGTTGATCTTGTTAGGCGAGATACGAGCTCCACAGCCCTATGGCTTGTCAGCCATGTCCACTGTATTTGGGCACAACTTCTTTGGACCGGTTCTGTGGTCTCCACCTCCTCAGACGGCCGACACGCTCTCTGTTGTGGGCGTGTCCCTTTCGGAAGTCGTCCAGAGGTTCTGGGAAATTGAGGAGCCACCACACGCGGCTCGAGTCAACCCTCTGGACCGTGAGTGCGAGTTGTTCTACCAGAACAATACCGGCCGTCGCGTCGACGGTCCTTTTGTCACTCGCTTACCCTTTCTGGACTCACGGCCCCCTTTGGGTCAATCTCGTGCACTGGCCGAGAAGAGGTTGCTTTCCATGGAGCGCTGCATGCGGCGCGACCCAGTCTTTCGCGACAAATATGTCGAGTTCATGCGCGAGTATCAAGTGCTGGGTCACATGTCACCGTCCAACTTCGAATGGCGTTCACAGAAGCACTACTTCCTCCCTCACCATGCGGTCTTGAGGACCCCTGAGAGTAAGATTCGGGTAGTTTTTGACGGTTCCGCCCACTCGTCAAATAGTGTGTCCCTAAACCAGTGTCTCCACTCTGGTCCTAAATTGATCAAGGACATATCTGACATTTTGACCCACTTCCGTCGGCACCAAGTGGTTTTTGTAGCCGACATTCGGATGATGTTTCGACAATCAGTGGTCCATCGTGATGACCGTCGATATCAGCTGATATTGTGGCGCGAGAAGCCCAGTGATCCGATACAGGTGTTTGAGTTGAACATCACCACATATGGACTCCGGTCCAGCTCGTATATCGCCATGCGAACCCTCCTTGAACTCGCTGAGAGAGAGCGTCTAAGATACGCTCGGGGACCTTGTATTTTGGAGACTTCGGTCTACATGGACGACATTTGCACGGGCGCCTCCACCGTCGAGGAGGCTCTTGTATTACGAGACGAATTGACTGCCATCCTGAAGACCGGGGGTTATGAGTTGCGAAAATGGTTGTCGAATTCCCCTCATATTTTGTAGGACCTCCCAGGAGAGGATCAACAAGACCCTCATCTATTCAAGCACCCTGAAAATCCTAATTTGTTGACTGTGCTGGGCATTCAATATCAGCCTGTGCAGGATACTTTCACGTATCGAGTCAAACTCGATCCCCCTCCTTAAGCATGGACCAAGCGCTCCGTGCTGTCTACAGTAGCCCGCACCTTCGATCCTAATGGATGGATCACTTCGGTCATATTTTTGGCTAAGTGCTTTCTTCAAAAGCTCCGGGTTGGGTTGGGACGAGCCTATTAGCGGTGCCCTCTTGTGAGAGTGGCTCTCCATTGTGTCCTCTCTTCCGGACATCAACCGGGTCTCCATGCCAAGGTGCTTCCTCCCGCCAGGGAGATGCAGGACTAACCTACATTGGTTTTGCGACGCCTCTGAGAAAGGCTATGCTGCTGTCATATATTTGCGGACTGTGAGCCCTTCTGGCCATACTTCCGTCCATCTCGTACTTGCTAAAAGCAAGGTTGCTCCCATTAGGTCCCGCTTAACTATCCCTAAATTGGAACTGTTTGAAGCCTCCCTTCTCACGCGACTCCTCAACCACGTTCACTCGTCTTTGAAGTCTGTAATCGACATTACGGACGTCTACGCTTGGTCGGACAGTGAGATAGTACTTTGTTGGCTCAGAGCTGCGCCTCACAATCTTGAGGTCTTTGTGGCGAACCGCGTGTCTCAAATCCAGAATTCTGAGACGTCTCTAAACTGGAGATATGTCCCAGGGGAGTTGAATCCCGCAGACTGCGCTTCTCGCGGCTGTGAAGCCCCCTCGTTGGTTGACCACCTGCTGTGGTGGGGTCCCAGTTGGTTGACTGAGTCTCAGTCATTCTGGCCCCAGAATAAATACTCCGAACCGATTGAATTGCCTGGCCTACGAGCCCGAGTAGGAGTGGGCAAGGATAAGCCCACTCGGGATTTCTCCCTGCTAGAACGATACAGCTCTCTCGATAAGCTCTTAGGAGTGACTGCTTGGTTGCGTCGATTCGTCCGCAATCCGAGAGACCCGTCCAACCGAATCTCTGATTTCGTTTTGTCCCCTAGCGAGCGTCGCGAAGCGTTGATGCATTGTACCCGTATGATCCAAGCGGAGCATTTTGAGCCCGTGATTGAAAACCTGAAGTGGGGCTCCGTTGTCAAGGGCACTCTGGCCCGTCTGAACCTCTTCCTGGACGACGCTGGGATGCTGCGCGTTGGCGGATGTTTGAAAAATTCTCAACTGCCGTATGGGGCTCGTCACCCGTTACTGCTCCCTAAAGACGGCGCCTTTGTTCGGTTGCTGGTAACTCACCATCATGTTAAGAATGCCCACGCTGTAACGTCACGCTGGTGTAACGCTCTTTCGGCTATTCTGCAGCGGCAGTTTTGGACTTTGGCTGGCCGACGCACCATTCGGAGAGCCATCTTTAATTGCATACCTTGTTATAAACTGAAGGCCACCATATCGCAGCCTATGATGGGTGACTTGCCACCCGACTGCGTCAGGACCATCCGACTATTCGCTGGAGTCGGAACAGACTTTGCTGGCCCCTTCCTCGTCAAGTCCTCTAACCTTCATAACGCGCGTTTACATAAGGCCTATCTTTGCGTTTTCGTGTGCCTCTCCACTAAGGCCGTTCACTTAGAACTTGTAAGTGCCCTCAGCATGGAAGCCTACTTGCCCACGCTGGGCCGCTTCGTATCGCGTCGCGGTTTGTCGGACCTGATCCGGTCTGATTGCGGAACGAATTATAAGGGCACGGATAGATATTTGAAAGAGGTCGTCGAATTTCTGTCCAGCCACAGGACTTATTTAGGTACTGCAATGTCCAAGAAGGGCATCCAGTGGAAATTCGACCCACCGGCTTGCCCACACTGGGGCGGTATTATTGAGGCGGTGGTTAAGGTTGCAAAAACGCATCTCCGTCGCGTTATTGGCGAAACTCTTTTGACATTTGAGGAGCTTGCCACTGTATTCTGTAAAATTGAGGCGGTACTCAACTCTCAGCCCCTCCGTCCCCTCTCGTCCGATCCGAATGATTTGGAGGTTCTAACCCCGGGCCATTTCCTGATTGGCCAGCCGCTTAACGCCCTGCCCGAGTACCCCTTCGGGGATATACATTCTTCGCGGTTGAGCAGATTTGACCTGCTGCAACATATGACTCAGAGTTTTTGGCACCGATGGTCTCTGGAGTACCTACATCTTTTGCAGCAGCGCATTAAGTAGTCTGACAAGAGGGATCCTCCTCGGGTTGGGGACCTCGTGTTGGTTAAAGAACCAAACGCTCTGCCTTTGTATTGGTGCCGTAGGCGCATTGTTAAATTGTCGTATGGATTGGATGGGGTGCCTAGGGTGGCCGAGGTTTTGGTCGGAGATTCGGTCTTGCAACGTGCCGTCGCGACCCTGTCCCGTTTGCCGATCTACTCGCAGACATAAGTCCTTATGTCCGGGACGGGGGTTTGTTCGCGCCAAACGCTAATTTCAAGAATCGACGCCAGGGGGCGCGCAGCGCGGTGATTTCCTACCGGTTGACGTTCGCGCGAGATCGAATTGGTTGCTAGCGGGGCGGGTCGGAAGTGATTCATGGTAGTGCAGTCACTAATACAGCGTGGTCTCGTCCCGTATAACCTCTATATAGTGTCGGGTTTTGTTAGCAAGTTTTTTTATGCACCGACGAGGAGTTTGTTGAGTTTAGAAAAATAGATTGACGACGCGGATCCGTTAATTGTTTTGGAAGTTAACATTGATTGCGATCAACGTCTGAATTTGAGTGTTGTGCGCGCCTAATTTACTATTGAATATTTGGTTTTCATGTAGACCGCCGCGAATTTGGTTATTCTAATTTTGATTGCGTATATAAGTGCATTTGACAATATTAATTTGCTCGTGTGGCATTTGATATAGTTTGGAGACATTTTCCGTTGTCGGTTAAAACGCTGAACTTTGTGACCCTAGAGAAGGTCGTTCGGTTCTAGAAATAATTTGTTGCTGAGTGAAAACGGAAGTGAACTTTGATCCACCGGTCATTAGTCGTGCCGTGTGTTACGTTTTTGATTACGATTAACGGGGATTTAGTTGAGTTTGAAGTTAGTTAAATGTACAATAAAGTTGATGGATTAAAATAGTGTACAATAATGTTGATAGACTTTGAGTGACATCGAGGTGACGCCGCTGGAGGATACCACACCGTGTGGCGGTGCTGGAGTCAGGGCTGCTGCCGCTTAAAAGGGTTAAGTCAGGTTTCAAATTTTACACACCACTAAACACCACTTACATACACTACACCTACCGCATGACCGAGCCTTGTAGTCAGTCTTCGCTTCTGAACCAGGTCCGTTCTTATTGATTACCTAGCCTTATATCTATTGTGTAGGATAATAAGTCTCCATAGACCCTTAGTTGTTCGTTGAATCTACAGCTGTATGGGCCCCTGTATGGTCGAGCTTTTGTTGGGGCACCTAAGGGCGTGTACAACCTGTTTGATTTTTCTAAATACGTACTTACTTATGAGGTAATGTCAAAACTATCACATGTGAGATCCAACAACAAGCGTTGGGGCAGCGCGACGGACTTTCCCTAGCTCTCAACCTCCTCAGAAATTAGAGGAGGCTTGTGCCCAGCAGTAGGACGTAACGAGTAAGCTGTATGTTATTATATATGTGTATTTTACCTACACTTCATAAGTACTAGAATTTATAATGTAAATTTAAATTTAAAACAAAATCCATATAATTCCGTATCGCCACGGAGACGTATCTCTACAAAATAATGGCTGAAATATTAATAAGTATAAAAATGCACAACTCTACATAAAAACAAAGAACAACAATGAGCGATACAGTTTACTAATACTTACTAAAATCAGCGGGGTTATGGTGTCTGGGACAAGGTAGCCCCACACTTTGTAAGTGCGGTACCATGGCTTCTGTATCGCCTTGGTATATACATCGTCCATCGGCGATTACGTATACCTAAAAATAAATAGTACCAATAAATAGTAAGAAGAAAATTAGATATCTTCATCTAATGATGGAATATGGCAATTTGGTCTTGAAGTACTTGTAATAAGCATTTTAAGCTTACTTGGTATTACAATCATTTTTAATTAGATAAAAAAATCAATCAAAAAGTTAATCAAATACTAGAAGATTTTAAAGATCTACTACGTCCCAAACACATTATAAGGGTATATTTATTATTATGTAATTTGTATTCTTATTGGACTAATAGGAAACAACAGTATTATATGCTATTTGGAGCTAGTAAGTATTCTGTGAGCTTCTCACAGTTGAGCCGAGCCATTTGTGTTTCTGCTTTATTGCATAAACCATTTGCATATCACATTGTGTTACACATCATATGAAGATACATTTAAAAATTGGGCACCATCTTGTACGGTATGATGTGTTAGATTCCTCCCCCCCCCCCGTGAAAGGGTCTCCGCTTTGTCGTGGCGAGGGGCTTAGTAACCGTGGCTTGGTCACCAGCGGTGAAAAAGAGGAACCCACATGGCTGGCCCGAGGAGTAGGGCCATCCCAATGCGCCCCCTCCGAATGGGATTGTCTAGCCAACTCCGGATGCACCTTGGTGGACTGTGGCGGGAGGGTGTCCTCTTCCCCCGCGACTTCCCCTCGGCTGCGAAGGGAAGTGATGGTATGGCGATGCGCCGCTCGTCCTATCGTCCGCGACTCTGGGGGGGCTACACCGCTGAAGCGGTGGTGGAGGGGCCGCGGGGGGAGAGTAATGACATTAAAATTACGTATGACGAAAACCTCGTAAAGATAGAAACATATAAGAAACAAAATAATATCTAAACCTGGTTCACGGGGTAACCTGCATGTGGGATGGTCCGCCAACTAAATTATTGATGTTGTCGTTTATGCAAATAGGGTAATCCCGGTCAATCTCTTGGGTCATTCATGACGACTGAGACTCCGTGACGGACCAAATGCAGATGATTGTACACCCCGATACCGCTCACATCGTCACAACATATCGCCGATTTGATTTCCCTGGGCTGTTTGATTTGATTTTTATTTATTAATTTATTATTTTATATCTAGCATTATGTTCAATATATATATTTTTTAATCTTATTTATCATTCTTTTTATGTTATGTAAATCTCAACCAGACGAGGACACTACCAAAATATCCCAATAATAATAATTTATTTAGTTACCCCTAAACACTAAAACTTTTTTCAGACTTAATTTCACTCTTACACTGCCTATAATATTAAGTATATTTAGCAACCGTGCTAGATCATAGACCTGTGTTACTTTTACAGCCTACTCCATTAAACAAAAATAAAAAATAAAAACAGTTTTATCGCAATCAAGTACTACCTATATATTCATAACAATGAGAGAAACTAATGCACTACGCCAGGGTATTGTATGACCACAGTGTTCAATTAACTTAATTATGCAAATTGCGCTTAATGGAATAACGCACAGTACAATAGTTTCACGCAATATGTCACGTCTAATAGATCGATAGGCTACAAATTATTGTTACGATGATGTATAGAATCCATTCAAGTAATACTGCATAATTATAAAATTAAATGTAGTTGCACGCGTGGCATAATAATGGATTTGACGTGCTCTCTAATTGCGGTAATGACATTTTTAATCAAAGTTTATTTTGTATAAATGAGAAAAGATATGGTTATAGGTAAATTTTGATTAATGAGAAGCGTACAAGGACGCACCGACCCACACCACCATCTAGTTTCTGTGACGTTAGTGCTGTTAGCCAGTTGGCTTTTATAGCTTTATCAAATTCAGGGCGAACTATGTCCACATCTGCACTTATGGGGATAATAAATTTCAGCACTGGGATTGACGATTGTATCCTTAAGAGTTGTTTTACAATTTTTGAAGTGAAAACTTCTTTAGTCGTGTTGGGCGATTTTTGGTAGCGGTCACCGATGACCTCGACATGGTCGTGACGTCACGAGCATGTCAAGCATTAGCACGAGCATGTATTAGCCTAGCGACGCCTAGTATAGCGGCCTGTGTATGCATACATCATTGAGTTATCACTTCTGTCAGCAGTACTCATGACTACTTTTTTTTTTAAATAGTATAAAGCATTTAGGGTAAAATAAAATGCAAGACAATAAAGTCTATGACATCTGCTCAAAGAGAAAGGATTGAGCCTGCGGCATGAGAAGTTTTTCTAACGAAACTAGGCACTCATATAAAATAATAGAACCATTATTTTATATGACTATTCACTTTTAATAATTATTCAAATTACTGTTTTTATGTTCATTTGTTCATTCATTGGAGCCTACAAAAAGTCCACTTGTTGAAAAAAAAGTTTTGTTTGCCTCACCGCGGATATTTGCCATAGTTGCATGGTATATGCCTTACGCCGCCAGTATCCGCCTGTTTTTATGTCATCATCATCATCATTCAACAGCCCTTCACAAGTCCACTGCTGAACATAGGCCTGCCCCAAGGAATGCCATAAAAAACAGTCCTGAGCCACCTGTATCCATCGACTTCCTGCATGTCTAACCAGGTCGTCACTCCATCTAGTGGGGAGACGCCTTACACATCGCCTACCGGTACGAGGGTGCCACTCGAGAACCTTTTTTCCCCACTGGTTGGCGGTTCTTCGAGCTATATGGCCGGCCCATTGCCACTTCAGCTTACCAATCCGTTGAACTACGTCGGTCACACTAGTTCTACTGCGGAAATCTTCATTTCTAAGTTTATCACGCAGAGAAACCCCAAACATAGCCCCCATAGCTTAGTTTTTATGTCACTTTATCGAAATTATGTGTTGATTGCAATAATTTACGATATTAGACATTAAGCATTACGAGTTTAATTATTATAAATGACGATATAATAAATTGTATTCGTTTTTGTATATGTACACTTTGATTACATTGAAATTTGGATGGTGCTACAGGCCCTTAAGCGGTACTAAGTCGGTACATTGAAGTGCCGAAGTATTTGTACAGTAGCATTACGATGGCTATCCAAGTACACAACCAGAGTACGAAAAACACATTTGCACGTTTATTTTTAACAGAGGATAAATGTATATGGGCCACAGCATTCACTTTCCATGAGATGAACTGAGTGAAAAGTCTTCTATGAAAAGTCAAGACTGGCGTGATCCAAAGTTGCAAGAAGTTTTTCAAGTATTGTTGTTTAATGGAAAATGTTTCCTTTTTTGGGTGTAATCCAAAACCAGCAATTGACTGTTGCTAAACACTTTAAAAATATTGTTTACTAGGATTTATGAATATTTTTTTTATAGAAGAGGGGGCAAACGGGCATGCGGCTCACCTGATGGTAAGTGACTACCGCCCATGAACAACCGCAACACCAGGGGAATTGCAGATGCGTTGCCGGCCTTTTAAAAAGGTGTAAGCTCTTTTCTTGAAGGTTCCTAGTCGTATCGGTCCGGAAAATTCGCTGGTGGTAATTGATTCCACAAGGAAGTTGTGCGAGGGAGAAAACTTCTTCTAAATCGCACAGTGGTGGACCCCCAACCATCCAGATGGTATGGATAACGCGAGTTTTGTCACGATGTGCGATGGTGAAATTGAGCGGCTGGAATTACTCCGAACAATTCCTCACAGCACTCGCCGTGATAGATGCGATAAAATACGCAAAGAGATCCAACATCTCTACGCAGTGCCAGTGTATCGAGCCGATCAGAAAGAACTCGGTCGTCGACGATTCGAACCGCTCTGCGCTGGATGCGGTCAAGTGAAAGGAGCTGGCTCTGGGGTGCCCCGGCCCAGAGATGAGAACAGTATTCCATGTGGGGCCGAACTTGCGCTTTGTAAAGTTGCAAGCGATTGTATTATTTCCTTACATATTATTGTATTAATTCCATTGTAATTAGTAAAAGACTAAGCTAATCGTTAATAACCTTGAAATAGCAATCAAACTCCATTTGTTATCAGTGACGACTGTTTTTCTGTCGCCCTACTTTATAAAGGTCAGTTCAAGAAACACGCAACTGCCGTCTAATAAATGTCTTATTATATATGAAAGAAATAAACATACACATGTATTAATATTAATTGCGAATTTTACTGAGTGTTATTGGGATGATAACGTATGATTAATGTTGTTTATTCTAACACGATAAATGTGACAGATCAGGATCTGGGCGGCGCGGCGCCTTGAATTTCGCACTACAAGAGTAACTCGCATTCAATCCCGCTGACACCACCGAAAGTTTGTCGCAATTTTTCTGATTTAACATATTCTCAGCGGTGACTGTGTAAAAACTTAAGTTTAATAGGACATGCATTCAACATGCACTGGAGCAGCGAGACCGACCCTTCCCTGCTCCTTGATAAATCTATGAAAAGTCTATTTATAATCCTTGTGCATTTTTTCTCGCTTTCTTAAAGGGTACGCGTAAATAAAGATACACTCAAAATAGTCCTAGCCAATTTACATTGGCTAGGACTATTTTATCCGGTAAAATCGGAGGAAGGCTACGATACAACATCGTACAACAATTACGACATCGTCTCCGGCTGGGTTTCCAATTATTTGGCGTAGTATTCAAGTCTACTAGAGTTACTAGACAAAGCGGTCGAGTAATGATGTTAATCAGTAAGCGGCAAAAATATCAAATTACTGAGCTGCAGATCATAGGTTTAAGTTCATTCGAAGATAATATTTATGCACAATATAAATATTGGTTTACGGATTCAGGACTGCATACTATAGATCTTATCGTAAAAGTATTACCTTTACGACTACCTTTTTGTGGCGGAAGGTGGGAAGGGGGGGGGGGATAAAGTAGACGTGATTTTGTCACTCATAGTGAACCAAGAAGAACCTCCATGGCTCGTTCGAGGCGTGGTACACCCCATAAAAATCTGTAGATAACTTCAAACAAAGAAAGCTACAGCTTCCAACACAAGTGTTGCTATATAATGTCCTGCACAGTTGATAAGTTTTCATATTTGCTGTGGTCCATTAAACACCATTCTGGGGTGTTATTCTAACGACTACTAAAAAAACAATTTCTCCTTTATTGATTGTCACATACCTGATCGAACAGTTCTAGAAGAGAGGCAGTAGGCTGATGTATTGTACAAACAACAGTCCTGCCCTGCCTGGCCAGTTGTCGCAAAAGCTTCACACACTGGACTGTGGTGACGGTATCTAGCCCGCTAGTTGGTTCATCCAGGAAGAAAACTGGAGGATTGTTAACCAACTCCAAGGCTATTGATAACCTGAAACAAATAACTATATTATTAACTATAATCATGATATTTTACAAATAAACAATTACGATATGTTTACACATACAACCGTAACTGTTTGATTTATCTCTCCCTATATATATAAAAATTTGTCCGTTAGTCACGCTAAAACTCACTAATTTAAAATCAAAAATTTTATACAGCAGACTTCAATATAAGTTATTAAGAATAACTCAAAAACTATTGGTCTGACCTTGATCAAATTCACACGAAAAGTATCAGCTTTCAAATAAAAAAAGAATCATCGAAATCGGTTCACCCAGTAAAATGTTATGAGGTAAACACATAAAAAAACATACAGTCGAATTGAGTCCGTCTCCTTTTTGGAAGTCGGCAGAAAAACGGCTCGGCCGATTTGATGAAAACTTACTTTTGTGTGTGTGTGAATGGGTCCCTAGATGGCTTAGATTCACATTTGAACCCGGTAGGTGGCGTTGCTGTCTAGATCCATAAATAATCCGTGCGCAACCGGGGCGGCTCGCTAGTTATTAATAAAATACAAACGTGGACATCTTATTATCATCTCTAGAGAAGATGTCCAGATTTATAAGCCCAGTCATGGTTTAATAGAATGCATCGAAACGATTCGTGAAAAAGATGTTGTTGTGAACTGCCCCCACTCCGAGCATGACTAATTTAAAAACCGAATGAATGTTGATTGCTTCTTCGTACAGTGACAAGACGACGAAGGATGATTGATTCCGGTATATATAATGTCCTCAATGCATTTCAACATAACTGATTTGTTTTGTTACTAATTTGTGAACGCTTAAGGGAGGCCGTTTGTAGGAGTTCATGAGCCATAAACGTTTCTATCCGTAATGAAACATGATTTGGAAACGTTGATAGGTGAGGAAGCTGCTTACTGTTAATAATAATAAGAATCTAGAATTTGGATAACAGGCTAGATAATATTATCCAGTTATCTTTGTGGATAAAAGTTCCTGGTGTATCACCGCTTTTGCAAAAGGAATTTAGCTCGTGTAGTCGCCGTAAATTAAAATTTATAACATCGGAGAAGTCATTCATGTGCTGCCGGTTTTGAGAAAAGAATGGCTCTTTTCTTCAAAGACTCTATATCATATCGTTTCTGAATAACCACTGGTGGCAGCAAACTCATCAATGTAGTCGTGTGGTACAGATAAATTAAATATCGTATGCATAATGCTTCATTACTATGCGATTCCTAAGATGAAATTTCGAATTGAGTCGCAATGTACGACGGTGAAACTCGGCGGCTGGAATTATTCCAAACAATTTCTTAAACCACTTCTCGTGATATATGCGATAGAGAATGCAAATAGACGTAACTACTTTCCGCAAGGCTCGTGAATTAAACTGCACAGAAAGAACTTTTCGATACTAGATAAGGATTTCGATACTAGCTGAGGCTACAAGGAAGTTCCCTTAAATTGAGGAGATACCATAAGGGGTTTCTCTGCAGTGGTAAAATGTGTGCATGTGATATTAGTAGAAGATGGAAAATGGAATAAACAGACTAGAATGAGCCTTTTCATCCTCTTGAACCTAAAACATGTTAAAATTTCTAATATAATATTATAGGGTCTGCAGTACGACAACTGCTGTATAAACGTACTGTTTCTCTCGTTACTCAATATTTGAAGTAATAACTAGCGACTATAGCTTAATGGTATGGACAGTCGAATGGAAAGTAAAAAGTTTTGGATTCGAATTAATCATTGAATTGTCGTGAACTATTGTTAGATCAAGCATTTTAGACTTAGTTGGTTTGGTTAACGGAAGTATTGGTATTTTTAATAGCATTACTAGAATTCTTTAAAAAGAAAAGAATCTTTTAAGTTTATTAAAGGCTGGCTATGTCTTCAATACGTAGTTGTAGTGTACTAATGTTTTGTTGCGAATGCAAATGGTTAGGAAATTGTTTTGCAAATAACTGACAAGAAATAAAGTGGGGCGCTTTTTCACCACTGCTTACAACATTAATGAGGTTAGCGTCTGAGATGGAATTACGAAATAAATGCTGTCGCTTATTATTACTTGATACTCTAATCAACGTTTTGTTATATCCTTCAGGAGATTTAAGAGTTATTAAGGTAGAGCTACGCTTCAGCTATGTTATGGTTGTAGCATGAAGGAGTCGGCTCGGCCGGGACATTACTACGCTTTCACTGGATAACAACATAAAATTCAGCTTAATGCTGCGTGTGGAGACCCCTTTTACAGGTGACGAGACATTCTATCTTATTCTTCAGGGTTGAGATGACCTTTTAATTCTTAATCGAGTATAGATGTTGGTGTCGATGGGCCACAGCATCCACTTACCATCGGGTGAACTGTATGCTTGTTTGTCATTTTTATTCTAAAAAAAAAAAGGTTTTTCCATAAAAATTATCTAAATGACTATACAGTGTAAGGCGAAATATTTTATTTCGCTCTCAAATTTTCAACCTTACGTCACAGACCTTGTGGCTTTATTGGGAGCAGAAAGTTCACGCAAAAAGGCTTAACTATAAATTTCACAGACTGCTGATAAGACGCAGTGTTACCACAACCCACAGCAGTGAGTGATATTCGCCCACTATAATGAATATTAGCAAATTTTTTGCATTAACTTCAAAAGAAAAAAGAAAACTTTAGATAAATTAGAAGATTCAAAGTTTACACACAACATAATCATTTACTTCAGATAATAATACTGTATACATGCCTTTATTTAATTGGCCGCACTGAGATTTGATTGGATTGTTAAGATTTTGTTAGTGCGCTTCACCATCTTAGGCTACATCACCACTTACCATCAGGTGGAATTGTAGTTAAGCGTTGGCTTTGTGGTGTGTTGGACTCTAAATGTCTCAATTTTCAGAAATGAAAGCTGGCTCACTTTAATTCTGGTAGCATCATAACGCGAGTTGATTTAGAACGTTAAATATCAATTACTGCTTTATAGAAGTAGAGGTCTAGATTTTTTAAATACATTAATATATTTTTGAAATAATTTTAAACATATATGTAATTTAAAAAAAAGTGAAATATTTATAATCTTCGAATTACTTTAAAATAGCAGCTCGTTGTATATTTTAAGCGTCCTATTTTTATAAAACTAAGAACATATTTAATAATATTGTAAAATTTCTTCATGGTGCTAGAAACCGCATATTGCACCGTAAACTCAGCACCATTTTATTATGCTCTCATACTTTTACGACGCATTGTTTGCGTTCGGTGCTTGTGTGGTCACTGTTTTATGCTGCATGCATAACGTTCGTTCTATTTTCAATTATGGCTCTTGATACTTATTATTTTTTATTTTCAACGGAGATTAAGGTTCTACTTAGGAGCAAGTATAGTTTTACATTTATCACAATTCGCTCAATCAGTTGAAGATACCCGAATTTAATTAAGCTTACCTAGTCGACCTACGATAGATAGGTAGTGTATGTATTGAAAATAATAATTAATGACGAATTCGTGCAATTTGATTGCAACAAAATATACTGTAAAGTAATTTTACTGAGTTTCAAATATTCCGTGAACTTTCGGTAATTGAATATTTTTGGAAAAATATATAAAAAGTCAACTTAAAAAATCAATTAAACTAGACAATAAAAGCGAGCAGAAAGGCTAGTTGTATGTTCTGAAGGAGTGTAATTTGACTCGATATTTGTTGGTTAAGAGACAACCACTCTGGTAAACATCTTCTCTCTCAATGCACCCTGCATAGCTGCAACAGACAGGGAACCTAACACGGTAGAATATAGAGTAATACAAATTTATATTTACAAATGTTTTAACTTAATAATAGTAGTTAAAGAACTATCAATCCCGTAATTTAGTAAGTAGAGCTCGTCAAATAAACATAAAATGTAAGAACAAATTTTAGCTCTCTTCAAAACAAGCTAATGGTTAAAACAGTAATTAAAAAAACTCGACTGCCCAAAACAGTTAACTGAAAAGTGAATAATTATTTTTACGTTAGTAAATCCTATTATGCCATTATTTAAGAAGTTTAGCACAACTTTATTATAAATTTTGAAAATTTAAGTGAGGGTGGTTGCTATCGAACTTTAAATCGTTATAGATCCCAAGTGGACCTATTCAGTGATACCCCACTTGACATGGTTCCTCGACTTTCCATTTTTTCCTTCCTCACAATATTATGGCATCTGTTTGGCGCCATATTGAATTTCGATTACTAACATGTCTTCAGTGATACTCACAAGATTAAGACAAATCGATTATTGTTAGATTCGTCAAAATCGGCCTACGCGCGACTTTCCATTTTTTCCTTCCTCACAATATTATGGCATCTGTTTGGCGCCATATTGAATTTCGATTACTAACATGTCTTCAGTGACACTCACAAGATTAAGACAAATCGATTATTGTTAGATTCGTCAAAATCGGCCTACGCATTTGTTCTCTAAGAGCGCCACAAAGGAACAAACAAACATAATAAATAGGATGATAAACACATTACCCTCCTTTGCGTAGCGCAGTCTCGTAAAAAGGAAGAGGTTTACAAATTGACGGTAATAAACCAATTCCGATGAGTTTTTTATTATATAGGTCTAAATACTATAAGGGTATTATTCAATCAATCAATCGTCAATTTGTAAACCTCTTCCTTTTTACGAGACTGCGCTACGCCAAGGAGGGTAATGTGTTTATCATCCTATATAAATTTGGAAATATATACCAGCCCCTACGGGCGATGAAGTATTCAATGAAACTATTTAGATAACATTGAGATTGTGTTACTCCTTAGTCTATACAAAAGGGACTCCAAAAAACCAAAAGTTATAAAATAATTTTACATTCCGATGTCGGAAGCTTTAACCTTCTTACTTAGGACACTCAATAAGGTTTAAGATATACAAAAAGTATTCTAGATACTAATAATATTTATTTTACATCTTTTCAAAATATTCTCCCTCATGCTCTATACAAAGTTCCATTCGCCTGAACCAACTCTGAAAACACTTGCCAGTCTTGATCTGACAGGTCGGAAATCGCTTCTTCGTAGGCAGCCACGGCTTCTTAGGCGCTTGAAAAAACTTGCCTTTTATTTTTTCTTTGTCTCTTGGGAACAAAAAGAAATCAAAATGAGCTAAGTCAGGGCTATAGAGTGACTTAGAGTTTCAACACCAGATTCCTCAATAAATGCTTTTGTTCTAAGGAAGGTATGTGAAGAGGCGTTAGTATGATTCCTCGACGCCCGGTCTTTGGTCTTCTCTCCCGCACAGCTTGAAAAGCTTTGGGTAATGCAACTGTAGTATACCGTTCAGAGTTGACGGACCTACAATTTTCCAGCATTGAGGTCGACAAATGTCTGCTCCGCGAAAAAACTAGCCACCGTTATTTTGCCGACGTTGCGAGGTTTTTGCAGTTTTGTCGGTGACTGTCCTTCTGAGTAGACCCATACCGATGACTGCCTTTTATTTTCCAGATAATATTGATAGATCCACGTCTCGTCACCAGTAAGTATTTCTGAAACACGCCTAGATGCCCCGTTTTCAAAACGTAGACGTATTTGGCACCAATCCACACGAGTCTGTTTTTCGCTTTCGGAGAGCAAACGAGGGATCCATCGACAACAAAGCTTCCTCACTCCAAGTTATTGATGTAGGATGGTATGAATGCTCCCTGAACTGATGCCTACAACCTTTTTGATGTCCGTATATGTGATTCGTGGGTCTTCTCGCACCAACATTTCAGTAGTCCATACATTTTCTGCCGTTACTGCTGTTTGCGGGGCCCCGGTTTTTTGGTCATTTTTAAGATTAATTTTACCCCTTTTGGATTCAGCAAACCACCTAAAATTGTTGCGCATGATGGAACTGAGTCCCCTAATGCTGATTGCAACCGTTGTAAACTTAATTGTTCGGTTAAACCAAATTTCAAATCATAATATATCATAGCGCGCAAATGTTCACGGTTAAGGTCCATCGTTTTAAATGAAAAGCGTGGGAAGCGTTGCAGGAAAATTAATAGAACTTTGTTTTTGTTTTTAATATTGAGCAATTGGCTTATGGAGTTCTATTTATAAATAAATTTGCTTTTTAGAAACATATAACATGGGTGCGTTCCATTTTTAAATTTCGAGCATCTCAAAACTTATTGAGTGACCTACGTATACACATTGACTTCAGAATGTAAATTATTTTATTATTTTTAGTTATTCGAAGTAAACTTTCACCTTTTATTGAAAGTTAATTTTTGAATCTTTTGAGTTGATGCCCCTGTGCCCTGTGTGTGTTAGTAAACTTTACTTAGAAGTCATGAGGCCACCTCCACATGCTTGACAAACAACGGCAAACAGGGAACACCAAACAACAAACATGAACCTGTGGATGGATGTTTGCCTGTTTTAGTTTGTGTTTGCCAGTGCTTGGCGTCGGTGTCGGTTTTTGTGCATAATCAAAGGATGTTCGACAAACGTGTTTGCGATGTATTCAAAAGCTTGGCAATCAATAGTAGTAGGTGCGAGCGGCGGACGGAGATACTAGTGGCTATTACTATTATTTGGGTTATCTATAAAGTTTTCTCATCTGGTTGGGCTGTTTAAATATATAATTGTAAACGAAAGATATAAACATACATAAATATCAATAAAATAGAATAAATACATAAAAATACATAAATATATAAAAACCCAACCAGATGGAAGCCCTCGGCCGGGGAAACCAAACGGCCGAGGGATAGGAGGAAAGGGAAAGAAACCGGCGGACGATGCGGGTGGTATCGAGGAGCACTGCCTTCTGAATTTGAGCTTGGAGCGGTCCGTCACGGAGTCCCAGTCGCCTCAGATGACCCGAGAGGCTGACTGGGATTAACCCAAAAAGGATTAAATCACAAGTGATGTTTAGCAATTCTATAAGATGGGAGCGACTGGAGGCGAGAACTTGATATCATCCATATAGAAAAGGTGTGTCACTTTTGTACCTCCTTTTCGAAGCTGAAATCCCCTACCGGAACCCTCCAGTAAGGTACTGAGAGGGTTCAGAGAGAGGCAGAACCAGATTGGACTCAAACAATCGGCCTGGAAGATACCCCTTCTTATCCTTATGTGATTCTCCGCAGCCGTCATCCGCTGGCCTAGATGACAAAGGATCGTACTCCACTGCCCCACACACTGCCCGAGGAAGTCTCGAACTGTACACTCAACCTTGTACAACTCGAGGACCCTCTTAAGCCATGTATGAGGCACCGAGTCGAATGCCTTTTTGTAGTATATCCAGGCGGCGGAGAGAGACATCACCTGATTTGAGTTCAGGTGACGAGTGATTCTCGCGCTCAAAATGGATGTTAGTGTCCATGGTATATGGTATATGGTAGGTAGACACGTTATGGGGCGGTATTTGCTCGGGTCTGTGGAATCCTGGCCTTTAGGAACCAAATGAGTGATCCCAGTAGTGAAGAGGCTCGGGAGCGACTTTTGGTCCAGAGCCTCTTGCAACTGTCGGGCGAGTACAGCGTGACACACCACGAACCCCTTCAGCCAGTAGTGATGCAGTCCGTCGAGTCCCGGACTTTTCCAGTTCGGGGCCCTACGGACCGCCCCAGCTACGTCATCCGCGTTATGATGATGGAGTCCATGGGCGTAATATTCGCACACTTACTCGCCACAACTTCCGTCCAAGGGCCCTCGCTGTGGTTTACGGGCTTTAACCACAGGCTGCTCCAGAATGCGATAGTGTCGGCCTGATTCGGTGCTGGGCCCGTTCCACGTACCATTGGTCGCTCCAATGATTCGTAGAGCCTCTTCTGATCACTCTGGAAGAGACGATTTTGGTTGAACCGTGTTGACCTCTCGGTATATCGCCGAATCCGCTTCCCCCAAGCAGCGATTTTCTGCTTCAGGTCATCTATGCGCTCCGTCAGTTTTTGCATTATATCCGACTTGGACAAACTGATATTTGTCCCAGCAAACGCCATCCTGACGGTGCGCACAATTCTCGGCCTATTATTGCCCGACCTGAAACTTATCAGTCTGCCGATGAGGGTCCTTGCCTTTGCGGCACGGTCTTCAATCCTTCATCTCCAGGCTGGGATGGCGCTACTTTGTCTAGTAGCGCGTCCAGCCGTGGGAAGATTGGCGCCAATAATATGGCAAACTGCCAGTACTGCACCAAAAAGAATTGAGTCCGTCTCGCAAAGGTCCTGGCTGGCTTCCAAAAAGGTCACCAGCATTGGGTTAAGAGCCCTCACGACAGCCCGATTCCGCTTGCTTAGGGATATACGCAGGAGTCGCTGACGATTTTGTTTTTTTTTACTGCGCGTTACCACAATCGCCTCCTCCAATTTACTCCTCATCTGCTTTAGTTCTTGGGTGACCATTCCATCATCCCCTGAATCAATTATTATTATTATTATTATACTCTAAGATGTGTATTTAGGTACTGGTGTATTTTATGTTCTTTATGTTTAACTTTATTTTGTCTTTTTTTTTAAATAAAAATAGGTCAACCAGAATGTAATCGCTGCCACTAGCTCGTCGTTCGCCATGTTTGCCCATTCGGTATATACTAGAACGTTCACGAAGCCTGTGGATCCCGTGTGTGTGTTGGGTGGTTTGTGGCAAACACCAAGCATGTGGCTTGAGAGATTTAAATAAGTACACCGCTTTTTTAACCTTGCCAGTCTGAAAGTAATCAATAATAAAAATCTCCAACACTTAGGCCGAAATCTCGTTAAAATAAAATAGATACACGTCTTCAATCCCTCCTTAAAAATATTTAAACTTATTTCTTACCGTTTCTTTTGTCCGCCTGATAATTGATCTGTCTTTGTATGCTGGTGCTCCAAAAGACCCAACTCTTGCAGTATTTCTTCGGAATGCGCCGTCTCGCCTTTTGCCACTTTTAGGCTGGCTGCGACATCTAGCGTTTCTCGTACTGTGAGATAGGGTTGGAGGAGATCCTCTTGCGTGATGTAGCACGATGATCTCTGGAATAGCTGCTCGTCTCGAATCTGCCCGTTAACAAGCAGTTCACCCGTAACTCCAGCTGATCTGTTTCGAAACAGAATATGATTTACTTTTAAATAAAAATGAATCTAAGTAAGCAGCCGTAACGTATAACTCGAGAGCACAGACCTCATAATTTTGGGAGAACGTCGGAGAGAGCAGAGTATTCAGCATTACTCCAATGTGTTGGCGGACTGCAAACGTCCCCGAAATATTTTAAAATTTTTAGACACGTTATGCTTAGAAAATTATTTCGCTTCACTCCCTCCTCGCTTCCTCTGTCACTTCTAACTTTAAGTGCGAGGCCGTGGGCTAGGGTCCACTTCGCCCAAGCCTATATATACATTTGTACATATGTATAAAGTGAAATATTTATATTATATTATATGTTTTGAATAATATGTGAAAATAAGTTAATTTTTTCTGTTGCGGCTCTACCCATAGCTCTCACCACACTACCAAAGGTTAGCTAGCAGAGAGTGATCTTTCGGCATTAAGTTCACCTTTGTACCAAATGTTTGTTTGTTTGAGCGCAAAAAATAATTTTCTATCTATCTATCAGTCTACTTCTTTTGATACCCACGGGTCGGTATAGGTAGTGGATTGTTACACCACCACTACACAGATAAACTTGTTCGTATTCTATGAAATTTAGAAGCCCAGGTCCAGTGTTACAATGGCTCAAAAATAACTATACTTTAATGTTAAGAAAAAATATTTACCTGTATCCAGAAATAGCGTTGAGCAGAGAACTTTTACCGGCACCCGATGGACCCATGATGGCAACAAGCTGTCCAGACAAAAATCTACCATTGACGCCTTTAACCACTTGTCTCAGTTCAACTGTAACAAAAAAATAATAGACATCAGAGCTCTATTTGCACAATAAGTGTACCACAGCTCATCATTAGCTTTTCCTCTGAAACCAACGATTCAAGGTCCAAAAAAAATAGTTTAATTTAGTATGCAAATATATGGCGCTATTTTTTTTGTTAATTTTGACAATATTGTTTTTATCTACATCTATTTCTCAATCAGTTTTTTTTTAATATTTTTATTGAGGCTCATTCGGTGACAAGAGCGGAGTGACAAGAAATTTAAACGTTTTCCCTAAAAAAGGTAAGAATGCATTCAAAATAGATTCTATTTAATATCGTGCTTAAACTTTAGTACTCTACACGAATCCCTTTTGAATTTTTCGGGATGTTTGTTCGTAACAATTTATGTAGATAAGAAATGCCCTTACGATTCAGGAGATTTTTTTAGTATTAACATTTTAAATAAATAAATAAAAATCCGCTTTTTCTCTAAGTCGACTGTTACGATTATGAAAGATGTCACATTGAGGCGAAGATTCCTCTCCTTGTTGTAAATAATAAAGTATAAAACAAATTATATATTAATGTCGAATAAAATTAAACCATTTTATTCCTTAACCAGTTTCGTTCCATAGTATTGTCGTTTTATCGAACAATAGCCTCCAATACGTTCAACTTTGGAGGCTATTGTTTCTTCCTTTTTTTTAAATTCAAATTAAATTTTATATACCTTTTTTATAGGATAAGCGTGACAAACGAGCATACAGTTCACTTGATGGTAAGTGGTTGCTGTGGCCCATAGACATCTACATTTATCCTCGATTACGAACAAAATGCAGATGCGCTGTCACCCGTGAGGACTAAGATGGAATGCCTCGTTTCCACTAAAAAAGGTCTCCGGTTCTCTACACTCACCATACGAAACACAGCAGCGCTGCTATTTTACGCAGGTATTCTGTGAGAGTGTGGTCCTTCCCCGGTCGAGCCGACCCATTCGTGCTACAACTATACCAGTAATATAGCTGCAGCGTGGCTCTACCACGTAAAAATGCTCTTACATAATCAGTTATTGTTATGTTTCTTTAGGTTTTGTTTTATCGATATTATTTATAAAATAGACTCTTAGAATATTTGTGTTATTTTTGAGGAAGGGTTCCGACATGGTAACAATGTGTCTCAAACGGCAAGAACTTTGCGTTGATTTTTTTACCTCACTTATTAACCCATGACCACCTAATATTTTAACAGAGAAAAATTTCAATAGCGAAGAAGCATTAAAAAAACGTTTGTAGATCTCATCGATTCTCATGTAGAGACTTCTACAGCAAGATCATTTTCAGATTGCCTATAAAATGGCTAGAATGTTTTAGTAGCTTAAGCAAAAATTTAAAAAATATAAAGTAGTTTTTGTAGTTTTGTTTTTCAAGTTTCAAATCGACATTTCGTAGGTAGACTTAATAATTTCAAATATATAATGAATGCTAGAAAATGCTGGCTACGGAAAACGCAGAAATATACAGATATTTCTATCAGGTTACAATACTTGCGAAGAAAAAGTTAGGATAAAAATTTTGATCCAATATGGAACTGTTATAAAAAAAAAAACTTCACATTAGAAATAGAAACCGAATAATTAATGCTTTAAGAATATTAGCTATCGCTAAGATCCGAGACAGGTTTATATAGGCAATAGTACCAGTGTATTATTCTTAAAAATATAACACACATACTAAATTACTCTCGGGTTACAATACTTGCGAAGAAAAAGTTAGGATAAAAATTTTGATCGAATATGAAACTGTTATAAAAAAAAACTTCACATTAGAAATAGAAATTCAATAATTAATGCTTTAATTATATTGGCTATCGCTAAGATCCGAGACAGGTGTAGGCCATGCCAGTGTATTATTCCATTATATGTTATCCAATGTTTAATTCAGTTCAATCATTACTCATATCACATATAATATAAACCGTGAATTCCATTCAATGCACGTCGCCATTTTTCTATTTTGATTCGCTGTAATACAAATACAAGTTTATTATTCAATAACAAAGAGCAAACAAAGGAGTAAAATAAATTTTATTTGTGCTACTTTACCGATAATACATTTCGCAGAACTGATTCATTGTCAAGTATTTTATTCCTGTTTTAACTATTTTATAAAAACTAGTGATTCATGAGAAGATATAGACATCTACATTTACCCTCGATTGATAATCAAAATGCAGATGCGTTGCCACCTCAGATGACTAAGCCTGAATGCCTAATTTCCAGTAAAAAGAGACTCCAGTTCTCTACACCTACCATACGAAACACAGCAGCATTACGCTGCTATTCTGTGAGAGCGTGGTCCTACCCCGGCAGAGCCGACTCAATAATCTTACAATCATAATATATAGCTGCAGCGTAGTTCTACCATTTATAAAAACTGAACCATATCTTCAAAGTGAACCAATCTTCAAAGTGAATCATTAATCTTTGAGGCTATTTAACTCGTATTCGGCGAAGATATCGCTTAGCATAATATATAAAAAAATATACATATATAGTCGAATTGAGGACCTCCTCCTTTTTTTATTCTCTTTTTATTTTAATTGTAATCATATGAATTTTAGAGCAAAATGTGCTCGCATAAAAATCAACTCGTCTACGAATACAAGACAAGTTAGACAACTACCAGTTGAGAAGTGCGACAAATAGCGTCAAATGTCAGAGGCTTTTATCAACAGGTTAGTAAATGCATCTCGTCCTAACAGGTTCTTTTTATTTATTTTTTTATTTTAATCTATATTTTAAATTAAATTAAAGTGTCTGTCTGTAAGAATGAAGGCGTTATTTGCATGCCATTAGAACTGGAATAACGATTTAAAAATCTATCTGTCTGTCAGTCGGGGCTAATCTTTGAAATGCTAGACCGATAGTAATGAAACTTCACGTACAGTGATTTAGGCTATATTTTATCAATATGCCATATTATATAACTCCAAATTTATAGATCCTATTCAGACCAAAACGGGGCGGATCGCCAGTCAAAAATATGAACGAATGGAAACTACCCGACGCCTGCAAACAAATATGGGTTATTTGTCTTATAGCTTGTGATTTGTAGGTATTTTCTTACTATTGTATCTAAATAATTAAAAAATAAAAATTTTGTACAGCCGACTTCAATATAAGTTATTAAGAATAACTTAAATAGCTCAAAAACTATTGGTCTGACCTTGATCAAATTCTTTCATATAAAAAAAGAATCATCGAAATCGGTCCAACCAGTAAAAAGTTATGAGGTAACACACATAAAAAAAACATACGCGTCGAATTAAGTACCGTCTCCTTTTTGGAAGTCGGCAGAAAAATAGGTTGAACGCATCGAAAAGATAACAAAGGAACCTTTCAATAAGTTCCATAGAGTTGGGGTTCTGCGTTCAATGTGTAGATAAATTTTGTATAATGTTAGCATTTCCTTTAAGAGTACATTATTAAATTCCATACCGGGATCTGAACTAATTTTGGATGGAATTCCTTAAAATAAATAAAAATACTTTATTGAAGCTCTTATTACTTCCGGGGTAGACCTACTATTAATTCAATTGCTTGACCCAATTTGCTGAACGCGTCTATCAAGGTTAATAAATACTTACGTTCTATCAAAAAAGTATCAATGAAAATTTCTTGGAATGGTATTAGACTGGGTTTGAGTCAATTGAAGTTGAGGTTTTAGGGGTTTACGGTCGTACTTCATTTTCTTGCAGACCTCGCACGAGTTTATGATGCTCGCTACCGTTTGTTCCATATTATTTCAATAAAACGTTCGCCTCAAATTTATTAATGTTTCCCTAATTCCTCTATGACAATTTTTACCTAAACGATAATTAAGAACTACTTCGCGTTGCTCGTTTTCATCTTCTGCATAGACTATCCTCTTTGTACATTCATTAAATTTAACACTACCCTTTTTGTATAATTTTGTTGCGACTTCCGAAAACTGCTTGCGGTGTATGACACCTTCAAAAAAAATAGGAATTTAGTAGGAATATTTTAATTAAATCCAAATTGTTTCAAGGTAAGTGAACTTCCAATATGGTTTGTTTATGCCTATACAAGTTTTAAACTGAACATTCATTTCTGTTCCAGGTATGAACAAGTATTTGATTTGGTTTCGCATCAAACGCTTCCTGAAGAATTAAGAATCTTCAGCCGCATGTACTGTATTATTACTGCTATGTCCTTCAGATGCTGTTGCGGTGCTACTATTTGGAGATGGTATCGGATATAGAGATTGTAAAGAGGGAATACTCTAAGTTTCCAAATCCGATGATACTGTTACTACGACCCCTGCCTGATTCGAATTACCTATCCTGTACAATTTTAGAGACTACATTGCTCAAATGATGATGAAGTTTGTTCGATTGTTTTTGTCTATACTCATTTGCATAGAAACATCGTCGTTATCAGTTAATGCGTTAATCTTAATTATAGATAAAGCATATTAATAGCATTGTGATTTATAGGTTACTCTCATTCCCTGAAATTTGTAATAATTAAAATAACATCTGAGGCAATTTATTGATTAATTAGCCATAAAGTTTTATAGTACGCAAGCAAACCAAGTTCGTACCAGCCAAAGTACCAATGAAATTGTAATTGCAGTTTTAAGTGCTTATTTACCACGTGTTCGAAGGAGAAGGGGATCGAGTAAAAAATATCGAGGACTTGTGAAATCCGCCAACATATTTATTTATTTATTACTATATCCACTTACTACTATCATTACAGCATTACCCTAATACGATAAATTCGTCAGACTTTAGTTATATTAGTTATAAGTCTCTAAACTAAAACATAGAAATATAATAAGGTCACTGACTCTACTATCCTTAATATTGTATTAGCAGGCCTGTCTCACTCCGCGCTTTAGGCATGAAAATATACCTACTTTCAGAGGTTAATTTAGTGAGTAATTCAATTTGTTATCTCACAACACCTAACCCTACAGTAGGAGCGGCCTTACAAAGGCAACA